CATATTGTTCCTGCTTCCAAAAGATGAAAAGTTTCCTTTGGTCTGTTACAGTTTGCAGGGGGTTCCGATAGAGACTTGAATCAATTAGTAGCCCTTTCATCAGAAAACAGGTCATACCTCAGATCCTTTTTTTTATTCTACCTCAACTTCTGGTGCCTTTCATTTCAGCCATGTTCAATACTGTCATCTGCTCTCTTTCTCTCAAACTTCATACAGCGCTTTAGAAGGGGCCAACATCTGGCTGCTTCTTAAGTCCGGGCCTGTGCATCCATTTCTGGGGTAACAGGGCCGACAGATCAGCCACTCCTGTGGAGCTCAGCCTTTGGTGGATGTTGGGCTGATCACAGTCTCCATTTCCTGACTCTTGGTGCCTTGATGTGGCCAGAACCACAGGGCATGATTAATTACAGCACTCTGTCCACACTGCTGGTACTGCCATTATTGTAACCATGCATTCCCTTCTCTGGCCCTGTGTCTTTCACCTGTGGCATTAAGCCTCCAGCTGAAAACAGCTGACACAGCTCCAGAACCCTTACATAAGATGTGCTGCTGCCCTAAATTAATGTTTAGACATAGTAGGTTGAAGGAGGTGGGTATCCACTCTGTGAATGAGGTGAAAAAGTTGTATGGGAGATGACATATACAGTTGACTAACTGCAGGACAACAAAATCAGCTGTTTCCATTTCTACTATGTCAACTTTACACACTTTGTGTACTGACTTCTAATTTGTTTTGCCTTGTAGTTTCATGGCATGAAAAGACCAATGGCTGTAGGAGCGGAGGTGACAGAGGGGGGGTTAATTAGTTTTTTGGCTGTGTGGCCAATCAAAGAGACCTCATCAAAGACATCCAGCCAATGTGTCCCACAACCTTCCTAGTCTCTTTTCTTCCGTTTACACAAGAGCCACACAGCGTAATCAGCATGACGGGAGCAGGAAGCATGAGATGGATGAAGAAGTGGAGGACAGAGACATTCCTGACATCCAGGAAAGCACCGGAACAGGAACAGGGACTGTTTTTTTTTTTTTTTTTGTATAAGCAAACCAGAGTGAGTAGGCAAAAACCTGGAAAACGGAAATGGAGTGCAGAAATGACAGGATCCTTTGGAGGGATGTGGTGGAGCTGTGTTTACAGACAACGGTCACACAGTGTACCGTGACTTTGGGTATTGCCAGCCCTGAGTTTGTTGATGGGTAACCGCAGCTAACCAACAATCAAGCAATATTTACATCAGTGCCGACCATTAGTCCTTTTCTCAGGATGTGCAGCATTTCAAATTATGCTCAGAAAAAAGTATATTATCTATATATAAATTTTTTTTTTAGAAGACATGAACAAACAAAGAAGGAGGAGTGCAAATCATAAGGGCTCCGATCATAAACATAAAGACATTGATCTTAGTCGCCGCCACCAAGACGAGCTAACTGAAAATCATTCCAACCATGCTGTGATTCTCCACTGGTGGGAGAGACTCTCAAAGGCAGCTGCCTCAAAGCCCCACAGAGGTATCAGATCTCACCCTTTTTCTCATCTCCTTAATTAGGACAATTAAGGAATTTACAGGACAGATGGACTGAAATCCAGCTGGCTGCAGTGTGTGCCCCAGAGGACTGCTCTGATGATGATAAGAAGAGTGAATATTGGACACTGTTACATCAACTTACCGGTGGGACTCTGGTGCCCTCTGGTGGAAAGAGAAGAATAATGCTCATATATATATATATATATATATATATATATATATATATATATATATATATATATATATATATATATATATATACATATATATATTGAGAGAAGTTGAAATTAAACAGAGTTGTGCTTGAAAAGAGTTTAAGAACTATTTTGCAACTAAATATTAATCACTGTGTGCTTAGATTATTTCTAATTAAATCATATATCTGGTTTTAGTATTAAAATTCATCAACAGGCTGATTTGACATACAATATCTAATTCTTTTCAGTAGGCCATGACCTCGATCAGTAGTAAGGATAATTTCGGATATCTTTCAGTTGGAAGGACCTCTGATACTTCCCTCAAGTGTGAGGGTTAAAAATGGTTTGGATTCTATCTATTTTTGGTAGGAAGGCTTAGTGAAAATCAATAATGCCCAGGGGCGTCTTAGTTTAATCCTAGAGAGCTACTATCCTGCAGCTTTGATGAACCTTTGCTCTGATTCAACTAGATGAAATGAATGGCTCTTTAATCGGCCAAAGCTGGAAAAAAAACTGCTGATAGGGGAATTCAGCCATTTGATACAAACTGTCTTATTCCCATTCTTATTTATAGTTTTTGATGGTCAAGTGAAAAAAACAAGTACAGGGAGGATTTGTACTTTGCTTATCATGAATTGCTGAAAGATGTAAAACTAAAATAAATAAAGTTTCCTTTAATTTATCAATTTCAATATACTAAGCATCTGAAATTATATATCTGGTTTTACCTTTAATTATAACTTAATGGCTTATAGTTTTAATGGGTGTGATCATGCCACCCATGTGTGATCAGAATGTGGCCACAGCGAGTTAGAGAGGTGTAAATGCTTCTGCTCTGCAGTGGTCCAAGGGGTCAGGCTGTACCTGCTTATTTCTAAACAGCTGCGTTCCCTCACCATCTCTGCAAAGCTGCTACTGCTGCACTAACCCACTGTTCACACCTGTTGATCTGGCCTGCTACCAGTTATCCAAAATGCTGGTGGTGCAGCAGCTGCAAGAGGCCCCTTGATGTTTAGCTCTTTCTCTATTATACAACATTTGCGAGCCATGCGCACTTTGGCACCTTTGAAGATCAGCTAGCTTTTAAGGAGCGTACCAACTGCCCAGATGTTTCTTATCTGCATGGTAGCTGGTCGGCAGAATTTGATGATGTAGAAAGGAGTGTTTGATTTAAACAGCTTTAATTAAACAGGGGGAAATGTAACATATGTAGCATATTGGGCCCTGAGTCCCACATGGTAAACAGACACACTGACTGCAGGTCAAATCAAATCTTCCACTGTATTCATAAATTAACTCTATAAGTTATTTATTTATATATATATAGTTTTAGTCCTGTATGTGTTTCAGGGGAAACTCTATTGGAAACAGAAAATTAACCATAAACGTGTTCAGCTAAAGGTTTATAAAGAAGATACTCTTAAGAATTATTGTTGATTAGTTGCTCTGATGTCTTTATAATTCTAATAATGAGCATAAGTTTTTCTTTCCATTCACAGTTTATCATGTTATTCCATATATAACACAGTAACTTTAAATCTTCCAATAAGTCAGGTAAAGATCTATATCACTGTAAAATTCATCATGGAAAGCACAAGACCAATAAATATAAATCCCTTCATTGTCCCATAATGGGGACATTAGTTCTCTGCATTTAACCCATCTCTGGGGGTGGATCTTGCCAAACCCTAAAGCCACCCTGAGTACTTTGGAGCTCTGGATGTTGTTGGATTTTCACGGCTGACATGCCTCTTCAACATCGCCTGGAGGCCCAGGACAGTGCCCCTGGACTGGCAGGCTGGGGGGGTGGTTCCCCTGTATAAGAAAGTGGACCGGAAGATGTGTTCCAATTACAGTAGCAGCCATTCAAAATTTCCCCACTTTTCTTGATGGGCCCTTGTCTGGTCCCCTACAATTCCTTTTTGAAAAACAATCTTTGTACTAAAATATAATTTCTGTCATGATTTGTTGACATTAAGACCTTAAGAGAAGCATAATCTCCTGGTCAGACCCTGTAATTCAGTGAAAGGGTGGAGTCAAAAAATAATTGTGCACACCCAGGGGAAGCCCAGTGGCAGGAAGTTGGAGAGGATTTGCTGGAGTTTGACAGGGAAGGGCCCTTTTGAAAGGCTGCTACTGTATAAGGGAATCACACTCCTCAGTCTCCCCGGAGGAGATTCCAGCTTATTTCTCAAACCTCGGCTTCAGGAGGAACATGGTTGTTTTCATGGCTGTAGAACAATGGACCAGGTCCCTTGTGGTGCCTTGGGGGGGGGGGGGGGGGGTGCTTCAGGAGTCAGGGCCATCAGGCCTCTGTACAAACAGAGCAGAAGCCTGGTCTGCATTACCAGCATTACGTGGGACCTCTTCCCGGTGCACGTTGGACTTTTGATTTACCATTCCTACCCTCACCTACGGTTGTGAAATCTGGACCATATTCGAAAGAATTGAGATAAAAGCAGCTGAAATTAGTTTCCTCTATAGAATAGCTGGGCTCTCTTTTAGGGACAGCATAAGGAGCTCGCTCAAAGTGGAAAGGAGTCCCCTGATGTGGCTCAGACATCTCTTAAACACCGCCAGGATTCCTCCCTTGAGAGGTGCTACAGGCACATCGCACCGGGAGGAGGCCTAGGGGATGACCCAGGACACAAGGAGGTGTCCTTGGAAAGGAAAGTCAGGGAGTCTCTACTGAGACTGCCTGCCCCTGTGACCCGATCTCGGATGAAGCGGGAGACGACGAGTATGAGAAATGCAAAAAAAGGTGTAATTATTTTTGACCAGTAAAGGGTTGTGAACTTTACAAATCTGTAATTTGTTTGTCATTGTCAATAGTCTTTTTATATATAGAAAAAACCAATACAAAAACAGTATTTTCGCTTCATCGATAGCCAAGTTTATTTTTTGTTAATTTTTTAACAGAGGTGTTAGACTCTATTCACAACATAGATCTGTTCACTTCTCCACTGGCGATAAAAATTTAACAACATAATATGAGGAAAAACCAAGTACTGTATTTTATAACCATATATTTCTTTTTACATATTTTGGGACCACAAGGACCCTTTGACTCAAAAGTCATGATAAATAAAGCAAGTTGTTTTGAAAAACCATATCTAGCTTGATGCAAGAAGCATTTTCTTTTTACAATGCATCATTTAAATGTTTCAAATCTACCAAGATTTACATATCTCTTTACTACTGAAACACAGAACTACATAATGTATATGTATGTGTATATATACATATAATATGTATGTATATATATGTGTATATATATATATATATATGATGAAGTGTGGCAGAAAATGGATGGATGGATAACCTTGTCAATCACAAATTTTGAGGAATCACAGCAGATACACAAACAATAATAACATTAATTTCCATTCTGCATTTAGAGCATAAATTGAAAAATAACAATAAGAGGAGGATGCGAAATTAACAGCTGTTTCTTGGATGGTCACAGTGAGAACATTGCTGGCGTTACTGGTACCCAGACTGTTTTTAGCAAACATGCGGATGTTGTACACTATATTGCCAAAAGTATTTGCTCACCCATCCAAATTATTGGAATCAGGTGTTCCAATCACTTCCATGGCCACAGGTGTATAAATTCAAGCACCTAGGCATGCAGACTGTTTTTACAAACATTTGTGAAAGAATGAGTCGCTCTCAGGAGCTCAGTGAATTCCAGCGTGGAACTGTGATAGGATGCCACCTGTGCAACAAATCCAGTCGTGAAATTTCCTCGCTCCTAAATATTCCACAGTCAACTGTCAGCTGTATTATAAGAAAATGGAAGTGTTTGGGAACGACAGCAACTCAGCCACGAAGAGGTAGGCCACGTAAACTGACGGAGCGGGGTCAGCGGATGCTGACGCGCATAGTGCGAAGAGGTCGCCAACTTTCTGCAGAGTCAATCACTACAGACCTCCAAACTTCATGTGGCCTTCAGATTAGCTCAAGAACAGTGCGCAGAGAGCTTCATGGAATGGGTTTCCATGGTCGAGCAGCTGCATCCAAGCCATACATCACCAAGTGCAATGCAAAGCGTCGGATGCGGTGGTGTAAAGCACGCCGCCACTGGACTCTAGAGCAGTGGAGACGCGTTCTCTGGAGTGACGAATCGCGCTTCTCCATCTGGCAATCTGATGGACGGGTCTGGGTTTGGCGGTTGCCAGGAGAACGGTACTTGTCTGACTGCATTGTGCCAAGTGTAAAGTTTGGTGGAGGGGGGATTATGGTGTGAGGTTGTTTTTCAGGAGCTGGGCTTGGCCCCTTAGTTCCAGTGAAAGGAACTCTGAATGCTTCAGCATACCAAGACATTTTGGACAATTCCATGCTCCCAACTTTGTGGGAACAGTTTGGAGCTGGCCCCTTCCTCTTCCAACATGACTGTGCACCAGTGCACAAAGCAAGGTCCATAAAGACATGGATGACAGAGTCTGGTGTGGATGAACTTGACTGGCCTGCACAGAGTCCTGACCTCAACCCGATAGAACACCTTTGGGATGAATTAGAGCGGAGACTGAGAGCCAGGCCTTCTCGTCCAACATCAGTGTGCGACCTCACAAATGCGCTTCTGGAAGAATGGTCAAAAATTCCCATAAACACACTCCTAAACCTTGTGGACAGCCTTCCCAGAAGAGTTGAAGCTGTTCTAGCTGCAAAGGGTGGACCGACGTCATATTGAACCCTATGGATTAGGAACGGGATGTCACTTAAGCTCATATGTGAGTCAAGGCAGGTGAGCAAATACTTTTGGCAATATAGTGTATGTTGAAGGATTTATCTCTATTATCGTGGCCTCTGTCTCATTGGCATAAAAATCTACAACAGTTTCTGTGTAATCCCATGAGGCTGTTAAAAAAAAGACATCATATAATGATAAACAACGTATAATAAAAAGAAAACACTTTCATTCCAATGGATGCTTCTCTCACCATTTGCTTCTTTAAACTCCAGGTAGAAACCTGTGATAGGGCTGTCGCCTTCAAAGCCAGGAGTCCAGAAAAGGGAGATTTTGTTGTTTGTCACATCCTCTATCCCAATTACAGGTGGATCTGGAGGCACTAAGAGGAACACAGGCAGGATATTCACTGACAAAGCCTGGGCTCATACTGCTTATTAATGCATGATTGAAATACTTCCATGTTAAAGTAACTCAAGCTAAATTTAAAATGTTGATTCAATCAAAAACATCTCTGCTACCTGGAGAGGGAGTTGTATGTCTGGCTGTGACAGCAGCCGGTGAAATAGTAGCCGAAGTGGCTGTTGTTGCCGTTGTTTGATAGGAAAATAAAACAGAAAAGGAGCATGACCTTACAGATTCTCCCCCTAAATGTATTTTTTTTAGGGGCATTTTTCATGTTGCAACCAAACTCAGCGATGCCTTTTGTGTCAATTCTTTATGATAAATCAACACCTAATTCAGATTTATTTCAATCAAAACTTGAGAGACAGCCAACATTTATGTGGTAACTGAGGAAGATCAGCAGTGAAACACTGCTCTGGTGAAAGAATATGAGAAAGTATAAAACTGAACACACAGATTAAACTGAACACAGAATATAGTAGAACATGGTTCTAAAAGTATAATCCTGAGGGGATCCATTTCTCGAGCAGGAACAAAAACTAAAAAGGGACAATTCTGTATGTAAACACTGTCAGTATGCAAAAGTACTGTAGAGCAGGGCAAACGTTCTCCATTTAGCTTGAAAACCACCCAATCGTGCAACAGAGCTACAATAGGAAGGAGTGTTTTAAAGTGTAAACATCAAATAAAAATAACCCTTTTTTGCAGAAGTTGGACACCATTGTTTACACAGGTTGTGCATCTATCTTGAATGAACTTGCTTTTGTGGAAAAAACAAAGGACAAAAAATTGTCCTTATGTGCAAAACTGGTAGAAACACAACTCTAAAAAGCTTTAACCCATGGAAGCTGAAAACAAATGCATCTATTCTTTACAAACACTTCTTGTTGTAAATGTGTTCAAATGGCTTCATTGTGACAAAATGTGAAAAACATTTGTTAGACACACTGCACATTTAAGTTACTGGATTATTTTACCTGTTCCATTTGGTGCCAACGTCAGAACATTGCTGGCATTGCTCATTCCCACACTGCTAACAGCAAACAGGCGGAAGTCGTACGTCGTTGCAGGACGCAAATCAGCAACACTGGTACGAGTCCCTTAAACCCAACTTTTTACAGCACCACACCATGAATCTATAAATGAAATAAAAGTTAAGATGCAGATTTCATAATATGAAATATTCATTCTTAATAATTGATGCACTGCTAAAATGACACCATTCCTTTGGGACCTCAATCACCCCTAGATGCAAAGGCGATCTTACAGTAGGTAGAGTCATTCATTAAAGTAGTAAAGAAGTCATATTTAAATGTCAAATCATTCTGGATTAAACATGTATATAATTGTACTCTTTATTATACGATATTGTCCCAAAAGTTAGAAAATTTCAATTAAAAAATAAAGTCTTAAAATCTATGTTTTTTTTTTACTTCATTATTTTATGCAGCTCAGTTTGTTATATGTCAGCTTGTACACCTAAATTCAGCCAATCATATATCAATGCTCATCTGTCAATCAAATTTTTTCGTTCATAGCATCTTGATTCATATGTAGCAGCTAATAAACTCAACGGTTGAAATAAAAAATAAGAATAATTTACTTTATCATTGAGGCAAAGGCTCAAACATGTAAGGCTGTAAGCCTTAGCTTCTGCTGCCCTGGCGTCCTCTTCAACAACAACTTCATCCTGGCTTTCCTCCTCTAAATAAAAACTTCATGATGAAGGAAACTCATCCACGACCTCTGACACAAAACTCTTCTCCTATTGCATGTTTCTGCTGTCCATGGCGTTCCTTGACAGTGTTGTTTCTAAGAGCTACTTGGTCCCAATGTAATTTCCCATTGGGGATCTATTAGCACTAAGTGTCTAACTGGTTAGCAAGATGCTTCTGACAAACTGGCCACAACCAGACTTGCTTGCAGACCTTCCGCCACAACAATCCTGCCCCCTTGATAAACGACCAATCACATTCACTTTATTCACTCGTGTAAAGTCGGGCACTACTCGGGAGAATTTGAAAATACAATGGTTGGAAGAGCCGTTTGACTTTAAAGATATTGGGGAGGATTTTCGTGAATTTTTTAAAAGAGCTGCCCTCTCAACTGTACCTGTACCTGCTAACGACAGGAAATGCCCATTAAACTCATGCATGAGCCCATTTCTCCTCGTACACGCTTTGTTTGAAAGTTGCTGTTCTCATAGCTCATACAAGCTTACTGTGTACGAATGTCCACCCTAACCTCTCAATCCCTCAATCACTATATAGAGCGGGTACTATATATTGGACTTTATAGCGAACTCAGTTAAGTGACTGTTCGGACAGATGAACCTACTTTTTGCTCCCCATTAGTCACATAAGTCCTCCTCTACCGAGCGGTGCCTGCACCATCTTTGTTATTAGTTGCCGCTGTCGGGTAGCGACAGCCTATAGTGACTGTGGGCCGCTGCGACAGCAAATCCCATAATGCTTTGTGTGGTGAGCTCTCCGGGATTCCGGGATATATCTGCCTCTTCTGAGGCCTTTCTTTTCTTCTTATACACTTCGTGGACACGCTTTCTTTTACGAGCTGCTGACATTTTCAAAGAACCGTGGGGAGAAAGGTGAGCGTCAATAACCATCTTAAACCGTAGCTAACCACATATATATGCCTGAAAGTGCGCAGAAATAGATAGGCATGTAGGATGGCCTTACGTAAACATATCACCAGAATGATTGACAGTTAGGAGGACCACTTATTTAGATGATCCACCAAGATTGTCCTCTATACCTTTCAATAACCATATCCTGTGCTTGGTACGAGATTTGACACATGTCCTCAGAGACTCAATGCATTTTTCATTACAATGCATCCTTTGAATGTTTCAGATCTACAAAGATTTGCAATTAATTTTATTTTACTTTTATTCCAATGGATGCTTCTCTCACCATTTGCTTCTTTATACTCCAGGTAGAAACCTGTGATAGGGCTGTCGCCTTCAAAACCAGGAGTCCAGAAAAGGGAGATTTTGTTGTTTGTCACATCCTCTAACTCCAATACAGGGGGATCTGGAGGCACTAAGAGGAACACATGCAGGATATTCAGTCACTAAGTGTGAGCACATCCTGCTTATTAATGCATGATTGAAATACTTCCATGTTAAGTAATTCAAGCTAAATTTAAAATGTTGATTCAATCAAAAACATCTCTGCTACCTGGAGAGAAAGTTGTATCTCTGGTTGTGACAGCAGCAGGGGAAGTGGTAGCCAAAGTGATTGTTGTTGCCACTGTTGATGCTTGAAATTAAAATTAAAATATTGAAAAGAAAAATCATAAAAGGAGCAGAGGAATATTAATTTATCTCTAGTTTCTCAGCATACCTTCATCCAGAGTGGAGCAGAGAGGTGCGGTGGAAGCAGGGCCTAGTCCCGCATTTGTTCTGGCCTGAATCGTTACTTCATACCTGGTTGAAGGCTTCAGATTGGTCAGTATGATGCTCTGTGGATCACCTGTAGCTGCCACAGTACGGTGCAACCAATTCTGAACCGCAGAGTCATTATCTCTGTAGCTAACTGTGTAGCTGCGCAGAACGCCGTTCCTTAGTTCAAACTTTGGAGGCTAGAAAGGTAAAAAAAAATAAATAAATCAGGATTACAAATGTGAGGGTTCGAGTTTTTTTTAAAATTATTGCTGTGTTTTCATGAAAATATTATATTAATTTCAAGTGTGTGACTCTACCCTCCAGGTCACTTTGATACTCTGAGGACTTAGAGCTTGAAGCTGCATATCAAGGGGTGGGCCCTCAGGTGCTGAAGAAAAAAAAGACTAATTGGAGAACTTTTCTAAAAAATGTTGAGCTTTTTACGTTACAGAAGTTCCCCTTAAACCTTTTTTCTATCTTTTTTCAAGTTGAGACCACAGTCAGCAATGCATTTTGTGTCAGTTCTACATGATAACCAACACCAAATTTAGATTTTTGTCAATTAAACCCAAGGAGGCAGCCAAAATGTCTGTGGTAACTGTGGAAGATAAGCAGTGAAACATTGCTCTGATAGGAGAATAAGAGGATATGTCAAAAGAATTTGTCTACAGAAAATAAACCAACTGATCAAACTGAACACAGCATCCCTATAGTAGAACATGACACTGACAGTATAATGCTGTGGGGATCCATTTCTTGAAGGGAAATAAAAGCTAAATAGGAACAATTCTGGACGTAAACACTATCAGTATGCAAAAATACTGTAGAGCAGGGCAAACGTTCTCCATTTGGCTTGAAAACCACCAAATCTTGCAACATAGCCACAATAGGAAGGTGTGTTTTAAAGTGTAAACATCAAATAAATAAACTCTATTGAAGTCTAAATTCAATTCAGATGTTATCTTTGCAGAAGTTTATACCATTGTTTACGGAGGCTCTGCAGTCATTGTGAGAGAGCTTGTGTTGTTTTGCAAAAAGGGCAAATAATTGTCTATACGTAAATAGCTGGAAGAACTTGGTATAAGTTAAGTAATTTCCCTCTGGGATTATCAAAGTATTTCTGATTCTGATAAATGTGTTCAAATGGCTTAATTGCGATAAACTGTGAAAAAGGTTTGCTAGACACTGCACAATAATGTCCATGGATGATTTTACCTGCTTCGTTTGTAGCAAACGTCAGAACATTGCTGGCTTTGCTCATTCCCACACTGCTAACAGCAAACAGGCGGAAGTCGTACGTCGTTGCAGGATGCAAATCAGCCACACTGGTACGAGTCCCTGTAACCCAACTTCTTACAGCACTAGTCCATGAATCTGTAATTGAAATAAAAGTTAAGTTAAAAAACTAATAGTTTCAAATATTCATTCTTAATAAATGATGCACTGTTAAAATTACACCAAGTACTGTATTTTATAATCATATGTTTTTGTGTATTTTGGGACCTCAATCACCCTTAGCCTCAAAGGTGATTTCAGATACAGTCATTCATTAGGTGGGGTAAATAAGGCAGGTGTTTTTGAATAACCATATCTTGTTCTTGGTAAAATGTTTGACAAAAACATGTCCTCAAAAACGCAATGTATTTTGTTATTAATAATAATAATAACTGAACTTTAGTGATCTCACATTGGAGAAATGTACCTCTTCATTTAACCCATCCCCTTGGGGAGCAGTGTGTTGCCATGGTGTGGCGCCCGGGGAGCAGTGTGGGGGTTTAGGGTCTTGCTCAGAGACACAGAGTGGCAGTCTGTAGTAGTGGGGCTCGAACTCAGAACCTCAGGATTCCAAGTTCTATGCCCCAGGGCACCACTCCCCATACTTTTTTTGTTATTTATCACAATCCATCCTTTAAACATTTCAGATCTACAAGAATTTACATTTTACTTTACTTTTACTTTCATTCCAATGGACTATTCTCACCATTTGCTGCTTTATAATCCAGGTAGAAACCTGTGATAGGGCTGTCGCCTTGAAAGCCAGGAGTCCAGAAAAGGAAGATTTTGTTGCTGGTCACATCCTCTAACTCAATTACAGGTGGATCTGGAGGCACTAAGAGGAACACAGGTAGGAGATTCAGTCACTAAGTGTGAGTGCATCCTGCTTATTAAAGCTACAGTGTGTAATAATTACAGGCATATAAATTCAGAAATTTAATATATTATACATAACTATGTTATTTATCATCACCTATGAGCTCAGCCTTTTAACCATAACATTTGCGTTGCCTTAGAATTCGTTATTTATAATTACATAGGAGCGGGTCTCGCAGCCATGGAGGCTGACATCTTTGCGCTACGGCAGCGCAGAGGCAACAAACTAGCGATTGCGAGATCTCCCATGACGCTCGAAAATAACTACGGCAAGTTGAGAGAGATGAACTGAGACGGTACTGAACAGTAGATGGCAGTATTATGCCTGAGAAGCGTTTAGTCTGCCTGAAACCAAAGAAGAAGAAGAAGCAGGTATACTGCGCCTCGGTAACAAGAAAGGTAAACAAGGCGGCAGGCGTGAGTGACTTTGCAAACTGTTTGGCACTGTGTGGCCAAACATCAGACGAATGGAGGATCATGTCTACTCTGTATCACAACGAAAAGCGGCGGACACCGAACCCCCGTCATCTAAGAAGCGGAAACACGACGAGAATAAACGCAAGAGTGACAAGAAACGACAAAAAACACGGATCAACATTGGCACGGCATTTACACGATGGAAGTCACTGATGGAGGAAAAAGGTTTTCAAAGTGACGCTCAAGTTGCCAGTTTTCTCTTGGACAGGTAATTAATCCTATACACACAATTGTCTAATATCACTGCAGTTTTTGGAGTACAGGATGCTCAGACCTGTCTAAAACAATAACATGCTGCGTGATGATGCTGTTACTCTCCAGTATACTTATTCAGCAACGTCCCTGACGTTTCACAGGTAATGATTCAGTAATTTTCTGTAAAATAATTTTCTGGATATATACCTCGGTTACTTCTCTCCGGCTCCTTTGGAGATCTTCAAGCCTTTCCTCCTCTGCTCTCACCCCGCTGGCTCCCCTCTCTCGCCTGGCCCCAGCTGCACGCTCACCCCGGCCTCTCTGCCCTCTTCCTTTCCCTCTTCCTTGCCTTGTAACCCCCGTGCCACAAACAAGACTTGGACTCTGTAAACGGGGAATATATATTCTTCCAGCGAACACAATCTCGCTGTTAAACTAATGACTACAATTACTTCGTCTGTCTATATCACCATGCAAAGCAGCTCACCAAAACGTCACAACAACGTAGAAAAAATAACGGGTATATTTATTATCTTAAGTCTACATGAAATCTATACCCTACACAGACTAATGAAATACTATCTGTAAAATTATCTATGTAAACAAACCTCATCACTTGAGAAGGTAGGTGATGCGGACGTCGTGGAAGACATTTTGTCCCGTAACGCTCGCCGTACTGTTGGGGGGGAGAAGCGGTGGGGGGGAGACGTTCATGTTGCTGCAGTCTGCAGTCTGACCGCTAGATGTCGCTGAAAATTACACACTGTAGCTTTAATGCATGATTAAAATTCTTCCATGTTAAGTAATTCAAGCCTAATTTAAAATGTTGATTCAGTCAAAAACATATATGCTCCCTAGAGAGGGATTTCTATGTCTGGTTGTGAAAGTTTGAAAGTAAAATAGAAATAGTGAAAGAAAAATCATAAAAGAAGCAGAGGAATATTAATTTATCTCTAGTTTTTCAGCATACCTTCATCCAGAGTGGAGCAGAGAGGTGCGGTGGAAGCAGGGCCTAGTCCCGCATTTGTTCTGGCCTGAATCGTTACTTCATACCTGGTTGAATACTTCAGATTGGTCAGGATGACGCTCTGTGGATCACCTGTAGCTGCCACAGTATGGTGCAACCAATTCTGAACCGCAGAGTCATTATCTCTGTAGCTAACTGTGTAGCTGCGCAGAACGCCGTTCCTTAGTTCAACCTTTGGAGGCTAGAAAGGTAAAAAGAAAATCAGGATAACAAGTATGAGGGTTGGAGTTTTTTTTTTTTTATTGCTGTGTTTTCATGAAAATATATAAATTTTAAGTGTGTGAATCTACCCTCCAGTTCACTTTGATACTCTTGGTACTGAGAGCTTGAAGCTGCATATCAAGGGGTGGGCCCTCGGGTGCTGAAAAAAAAGAAAACTCATTGGAGAACGTTTCTTATGTCAACTCTATATGATAAACCAACACCAAATTTAGACTTTCTTTTATTAATCAAAAACAGTGAGGCAGCCAAAATGTCTGTGGAAACTGTGGAAGATCAGCAACGAAACATTGCTCTGGTAGGAGAATATAAGAGAAGGATATCACTGATTCTTGAAACTTCGGCAAAAACATGTCCCACTAAGAAAAGTGCTAATTCTGTTGGAAAGAAATAAAATTTTCATGAATAAAAACAATCAAGGTTATAATCAGGGGGTCCTTTGCACAAATGCAAGGTTCTTTTAAAGTTTTTTTATTTTATTGTTAATTTAATGATTATATGCTGGCCCATTGCCTATAAAATCAGTTGTCCTTGGATAGGAGATAATCATTTCAACTTGATTAAAAAAACAAAAAGTAATAATTGAATTGAATAATATCTTTACCAAATGAAAGGGTACATTTTAATATGTATTTAAAACTACAAACAGTGAGTTTTGAACAATAATAACCATTATTTTGTGATTGTTCAAAATGTGTCCCACATATTTGTCACCACCGTCAGATATTTATAAAAAGCAATAAAATCAGGCAACTAAAAGGTCAACTACATGCCTGAGGACCCCATTTTCAAATCTTCAGCTCTACTGGATGCCTTAAGGTCACTCAAGCTCCTGTAGGTTTGCTATTTTCTCTTAAACTTGTTCATATTTTTTGGACACTGCTAATGTCACAACCATAACATGTCAACACCGTCTCTTTTGTATAAAAAATATTAGATTAGATTATGACATAAATGTTTACTTTTTAAGAAGAGGTCTAAAGTAGCTAGCAACAGAGGGGAAACAAGATGGCTAATGTGAACAACTCATGCATATCATGTGAAAGAGTAGGATTTTGTCACCACCGTCAGACGTCACCACCGTCAGATTTTCTGTCTGACGGTGGTGACGCACAGTCTGACGGTGGTGACAAAAAACTACAAATGGTTCTCAATGGAGGCTAGAAAATAATTGTTGATCTGTAATGTTTCATTAACCTCTTTTATATTTTTATTTATGTAATTCCGCCTAGATTTCTTCCATATTGTATAACCCTAGGGGATGGGGTGTGCCTTCCCTGTCTCTCAATTCACTATTATGCCATGTTCATTTGGTTTACATCATTTGGGATGCACATAGTGCACCTACTACCTACCTACATAGCACATAGTATACAATATTCCTTGTAAGCTACGGCAGGGCAACATTTAACCAAATCTAACATTTACTGTAATTCCCCCCAATTTCATAGTCATTACACTCAACTTTGACTTTATGTATTTTAGGAAGTTATGGCTAGGAAGCAGCTATCTGTGAAGGAAAGAAGGAAAAGAAACAGGGAATATCAAAAGAAGTGTGAAGGCCTACTGACAAAAAACCTACATATATTCAAGCAATTACTCAGAAGGTTCAAAATTTCTACCATAATGCAGCACGAATGACAACTGACAAACAGGACACAATCACACGCAAGAAAATAAAGCATCAGAGAATGATTCTGACTGATAATGATATTTCTTAATTGTACCTTATATTCCTTGAAAAATATTTGTCACAGTGCTCATGATTGTTATTTTTTGGACCAAATAGTTAAATAAAGTTAATAAGCAAGAAACCATTGACTTGAATTGTATACAGTTTGGAATTGTATGTTGAAATGAGGCCACTGTCACCACCGTCAGTTCTAAAGTCACCACCGTCAGAGGGCTTTTTATTCGTTTTAAATTAATATGCTTGCAATATGTTTCTTCAGTGCTGTTCTCTCATTAAAGTAATGGTCTCTTTTAATACAAAAATATGTTTGTTAAATAAAAAAACATGACTTTTTCTATTTAGGCTTAAAGTAAACGTTATCTGATGTTAGATATTTTAAAGGACTACACATGATACAGTTAAAAAAAATTAACAAAAATGATTATTCAACATTTAACAGCATAAATGTGTGCTAACAATGCCAGATAAAGATTTAAAAACTCTAAATACTTATTAGACCAAATAAATAAATAATAATTAGCTTTTTATTGTGTCTGATGGTGTTGACAAAAACAAAGTAATAACTGGAAAAATGCCTATTTTATGAAAGAAATACAAAATGAGGAGGTTGCACCTGTACACTGCTGAACAGCCAAGACCTTGGTCTATAACAATATACCTTCAGATTTTGTAATCCAACTAACTTTTTATTTTCAAAATTAAAACCTGTTTTATCCAAATTCCCAAGAATCAGTGATATGTCAAAAGACTTTGCCTACAGAAAGTAAAACCACAGATCAAACTGAACACAGCATCTCTTTAGGAGAACATGGCTCTGACTGTATCATGCTGTGGGGATCCATTTCTTGAGCTGAAACATCTACATCTTGCAGAGTTATTTGGAATATTGGTGGAGCAAAACAGAGAAAATTCTGGAAGAAGAAACTGTCAGTATGCAAAAAAATACTAGACCAGGGTAAACGCTCACCATTTAGCTTGAAAACCACCCAATTGTGCACCAGAGCTACAATAGAAGATTGTGAACATCAAATAAATTAATGAATCGATGTCTAAATTAAAATCAGATGTTATCTTTGCAGAAGTTGGATACTGGTGTTTTCATAGGCTCTGCATTCATTTTTGAATGTTCCTGTGCATTTTTAAAAAGGACAAAAATGGTCTTTATGTCCAAATCTGGTAGAAACACAACTCTAAAAGGTTTATCTCATGAAAGCTGAAAACAAATGCAGCTAATCTTTACAAACACTTGGTATAAATGTGTTTAATACGGTTTCATTGTGACAAGATGTAAAAAAAAAACCTTTGCTAGACACTTCACATTCATGCCACTGGATCATTTTACCTGCTTCTTTTGTGGTAAACGTCAGAACATTGCTGGCATCACTGGTCCCCACACTGTTGACAGCAAACAAGCGGAGGTTGTACGTTGTTGCAGGACGCAAATTAACCACAGTGGCATCAGTACTTTTAACCCAACTTCTTATTGCACTACTCCATGGATCTGTAATTGGAGTAACAATTAAGATACAGGCTTCATGGTTTGAAATATTCATTCTAAATAAATGATCAATCTGTTTACGTTTACCGTATATTTTTTTCACATCAATTATATAGTCTGTAATGGCTCTGCCACCATTAAATGGAGGAATCCAGCCAACTCTGACTGCTCTTTCCATTATTACTCTTATGGACAGCAATGGTTGAGAGGGACGTCCTAAAATGTCAAAGCAACAAGACAATGTTATACACACACATAAAACTAAAAGATATACTTTTTATATTTAGTTTTTTTCTCTAAAAAAGAATACCTGGATTGACACGAACAATGCTTTCAGTTGTCTCATCGTTAAACCATCCAGGTATTTCTACACGACAGACATATTTGCCCCCGTCACTCTCCTGAACCTGCATAATGGTGAGTGAAGCATCTCCTCCACGAAGATAACCGGAGAGAGAGTAACGCCATGACAGCCTGCTGACCACGGATGTCCCGTCTGACTTTATCACCTGATTATTGCAACCAAAGGTGGATGTGGATTCTCTGCCCCAGCAGAAAGGTAGTGGGCCATGATGCCAGGCATTATAGGAGCATTTTAGAGAAACATCTGCTCCTACTGTAGCTGTTACGTAATATAGAGAGGCGCAACCTGAGAAGGAGATATCCGATTACAGATGAATCCCTTTAATTAGTCTTAATTAAATAAAAATGTCCATATGATAAACAGCTTCCTTACCTTTAAGCTGACAAAAGAGAAGGAAGCAATACAAAGGAAAACATCTACTTCCAAAATGACTCATCTTATTTCTCTGAAGAGGATCAGTGATTAAATTGTCTGATCACTGCCTCAAGTCACTCCAGTGTTGTTTGAGCCTTTAAATATCCCGGGGTTACCTAAATATGCTCCAGCAGACACCTTTGGTGGCATTTGCAGAACACATGCTGTTCCGTTTCTATTATTTTTGGTTCCTTCAACTGAATGTTTGGTTCCTTTAATGATAGGTCATCAGCCCATCATCAGTAAGGCTGTTTTTTACTGAACAATGAACATTATTTGGAATATTTATGGTTCCCTGACTGATTTTCATCAGTAGTAGGGAAGAATCAGAAAGTCCCCCCCTGGACAAGCTGCTTGATTCTGTTTTAATCCAATAAAAAAGGACAGAAAAATTGCACTTGTCATAGGGTAAGAGCATGCAGATTTTCTTAAAGATGTTTTTTGTCTTGACTGCAAAATTGTAAAACCCAACCAAAAAAATAGGAAGGAAGAAAAAGAGGATCTTTAATTTATTGATATTCTCTATGATTTGTGGACGGTTTCCAAAACAGAATCAAAATGACAATAAATATGATAATTAAGTTGATTGTCTTAGTTCTTTTATGTACTTTTAAGTGGTATTTATCATTAATAAGCTAATAACTTAGATATGCTTTGCTTTCGGATTGTAGACATCTGTAATATGTTGAACTGTTGTCAAAAGGCTACCCCCCCGAAAAAAATAACAAAGTTGTTATTACACAGGTATTACATTAGACTTAGGCTAAGTCTTAGACTAATTACAATGTGGAAAAGTCAATGTGTTTGAGAAAGGAGGAAGTCTAATGAAAAACTAGAAAATGACATTTTGGAGGTGCCTGCCACTTGTTTCGTCATTGATTTTGTACAGCTTGAGATTCTGTTGCAAAGCCAGGTTGTTACCAAAGGCTTCATGGGGTTATCTGGATCCTCCTGACATTTGGTAAGAGCGTGAAACCAGTCAAATCCCAGACCTTGACATTCATTTTACATGCACAGAGTGTACATTTCGTTGCATACAGCTTACAACAGTGTCATAATACTGCAGTTGGAGTAGATAAACTTTACCATTATAAAGTGCAGCAGTGATCAGAGTGTAAACAATTCAGGATAAAAAGAAACCAGTTTAAATAAGGGTTCAAAAAGGCTTAAATATGAAAAAGCTTAATTCAGTGCAAATTTAATATGGTGCAAAATGCAGTAGAAACAATGAGTTGTGTTTTATTAAAAAAGTATAATAGCTCAGCAACATTTTTGGTGCAAAATATTGTGGTGCAGAGTCCAGTTTCAACAGTTCAATAATCTGATGGCAGCAGGGAAAAAGCTGTTGCATAACCTGCTGCACTTGCAGAGGATGCTGCAGCCTCTTTCCAGAGGGTAGCAGTGAGAACATTCCACAGTGGGGGTGTGAGGGATCACTGATGACGTTATGGGCATACAACATATTAATCTGGGAAAATAAAGTAATTCACTAAATGTACTAATGCCATGTTTAAAAATTTATGAATAAAAATGTAGGTCCTATGATAGATAAGAAAAGTATAAAGCTATTTATGTTAGAGGGGATGAGGGGAATATTAGGATAGATCTAAGGAGGATACAAGACTTTAATCATGTTGCCAGTAGCTTACGGTAGTCTGAATAAAATACTAAACGAATAGATACTCAATGGATAAATCATATGTGTGGAAAGAAAAAACATCACATTTGCTAACACCAGAGTAAACAGACAAACTGCACTTATTTGCAGTAGTTATGGAACATCATTACCTTGACTTTTCTGTCTCCCTTTTTTTGCAAATCTTTCCCTAAGATGTTTATTTGCTCCATGTTGGCATCTCCTATCTTTTATAATGTTGTAGGTTGGAGCGGCACCTGAGGGTCCAGCACCTGAGAGAAAGTGATTAGATAAGCTCATTAGGAAGGTCAGTTCTGTCTCCTAACCTTTGCATCAAGCTGTTGGAGAGCTGGATTGGTCCTTCAGTAGGAGATAGCTTCATCCTAGGTGCATTTAAGGAAGGTTATCGTAGATCCTTCCTCTCTGTATGTAAATCTTGATTTTAGTGTTCAGCGGTTATGAGGGAAAGGAAAGACAGCCTGAACTGCTGCATGGTAGACCTTAGGTATGCTTTGAATAATTTTTTGGCTGGGGTTCATTTTCCCGAAGCTAAGTTGGTTAAGATATCAACATGTCTTTCTCTCCTCATCTGAGAAAAGCTGCCAACTTTACGTTCAATATTTTATGCAGAAAATGACCCCTTTCTGTCCAGTGGGCCATTTTACCAAGAATGTATGTAAAATAGTTTTAATTCCCCAATGTTTACTGTACTGTAACTATCTGAACATCACATCACATTCACATCACAGCCATGATTTTATTTCATTTCATTGAGAATTTATATATTAACACAAAAATAAATCCAGAATTGTGAAGTAAAGGCCTAATGATAGGTTCTTATTAACATAGACTGTCCTTTGGCATAACCTTTAGTGTAAACAAATCATTTGTAAAGGTCTTAGAAAGATTTCTTAAATAGCAGTGGCATAATTTGAGACAACATTTTTTAGATTGATATTTTATTTTCCATTAGATTAATTTTAACCAAACTCTGTTCTGATTCGTCATTAGTTTGACTCTGCAGTATAAGATGTATTTGAAATAAACCCCAAAGTATAACAGAAGCAAGCTGTATATTTTCAAAGAATTAATTTAGGAATGAATCTATACCTGTGCAGAGTGATCATAGACAATAGAAGATTTACACTTTACATGTTATTATTTGTTGTCATCAGGATTTGCAGATTATCACCGTTTACATGTGAGCAACCAGGTTTGATTGTCACCATTAACATAGTGATGCACTATGCAAAGGCACTTCTTATATATTGCACCTGTAACTGCTCAGAATGTAGAAGTCTTTTGGAGAAGAGACAAAGCTTTATAAAAAAGACGAATCCATCCAAAGGAAAAACTCTAACTTTATTTTTTTCATTTTAACTAGATTATTTAGATGCATTTGTACAACTGATATATTTCCTTTGTTTCCACATATAAAGGTTAGAGTACTTGTGGTTAAACAATCTAATATTAAAAGTATTTTTATCTTAGATTATAGTCTGCAACTTCATCAATCATCGGGCTCCTCTTCTCTCCATAAGACATCTTATCCTAGTGCTGCGTGTCCCGAGCCCGTAACATTATCAGTAACCCCTCAATTCCCCACCATGGACTGTTCTGCCATAATTGCAGCCTCAGTAGCTGATCTAATTACCCACTTCATTCACCTGCCGTAGCCTCCAACTCTCTAATTATCATTTATCTTATTCACCTGCTCCCTTTGCTATATATACGGTTCAGCCCAGCTATCAGGGCCAGATCATTATTTGTGTAGTCTCAGTTTATGACAATAAAAGTTGTCTAACTACATATTTCACATATTACATATTTAACATATTTCACTATGCATTATATCATATAACCAGCAGGTGGCAATATTTCCTCAGATAAACTGAATTCAAGTGTAATACGTATTTCTTAGTTTTAAAATACAAATTTATCGTCAAAGTAGATAGCACTTTATGAGTAAATTTGGTTTTATCATCATTAAGAAATAACTACTGTTGCTGCCACACAGTTTTTGTGTTGTCACATTACTAAGCAGTTGAAAAAAAAATATATAATTTTTTTTTTGTCATTGAAAATGTAACTTGAGGTAATAACGAAGTTTCAGAATCAACATAATCTTCTCCCTACTTTAAAAAACAAAAATTTTCTTCTTCCCCCAATGACAGGTGACCCACAGTCCCAGACGTCAAATATAACTTATAGCTTCCCATTTCAAAATCTTATTTATTATAGGATATAGGCTCTCTATAAGCCCTTTGTCAATATTTCTCACATTGAGGGGGTTGATTATTTATTCATTTATGAGACCAGATAAACAAAATAGCATTATTACAAGAAACTATCATTAAAACACAGTTTTATGATATTTTCTATTTACATTTATGTCTCAATGCACTAAAATATTGAGTGGTTATTGGACAAAATAAAAAAACAATAAACTCAAGACTGAACAGCTTTGTTATTCTTAAAGCTTTAACACAGACTTAGCCGCTTTTTTAGGTATAATTGTATTGCTTAGAGATAAAAACAGTATATTTCTAATAAATTTCAATGGGATAATTAGTGTCTGGTTTCCAAAGAGCAGCGCTCGTTGAAACATGCAGTTTTATGTTTAATATGTATCTTTATCTAAGAAGATGAAGGAAAATAAATTTTATAAAAGCCATTTTATCTTGTCTTGATTGAAATCCAAATAACTTATAAATATAAATCTAAATAAATAATATATATATATATTTTTTTTGTAAAAAATTGTCAATGAAATGTTATTTTCTAAAAACAAACCATATAATTGTTAAAAGCATAGTCCGACAATGGTTTCTGAACGACTGCGATACATTGTAGTCTGGTGTTAAGATGGTGTTGTCCTGAGTGTCGAGAATCTTCAGCAACTCCTGTGGAAACAGTGCGGCCTCGTCACATAATGTACTGTGGCTGATGAGGAGTCCCCATGAAGCAAAAACATGAAACATTTTATTTCATTAACAACATAAAGTCAAGATTTCAGTGATCCAAATTATTTCAGTTTTATTTTATCTGTTTCACAGATGAATACTGTGAAAATTTGTACAAACAATACATTTTTGTAGAACTGATACATTTTTAACATCCAGCTGAATATCTGAACCTTAGTAACACAGTCAAAACAATGATTTCCAAACATTCTCTCAAATTTGACTCATAACAAGGCAACGCCAGCAGTAGCCTGGTTCATAGAGATTTCCCATCAGTCTAACCTTTTGAACTGGATTGAGTGTTTGTGCTAACATAACATTATTAGCATTAGCACCATATGTTTTGTGAACTTTGTGATTTCACATATAGTGGGAAAAATGTGCCAAGTTGTGAGCTGACCTGAGATGTCAGTGGAAAAAAGCTTAAAGTTGATAGCAAATTGCTAAATTGTGGAGGCTGATTTACATTTGAATAAACAAACAACAAAAAGGTTTCTTGGTTAAAAAAAAAAAAATCAAACCAACTTAAGCAGATATGTGGTACCATCACTTAAAAAAAATAACAATTTTTAAAACAAAATAGTTGTACAGTAGAAGCTTTAACTTTTCTGTGGTTAGTTTGACTCAAACACACAAGAATGTTTACTTGTTAGCAAATCTTTTCTCAGTTAAAAAGGATTTTTTATAATATAGCTTTTAGTATAGCTAATTGATATAAACTACTCTGTTGTTTATGGTATTTAAAAGTTGATTGCAGAGAAACAAAGTTCACAGTTCTTCTAGGGAATCTGATCCTTTGTAATGAATTGCCCCATTTTTCAGCCACCTGCAAACAATACAGAGAAAATGTTTAGTTGGGCTAAATGTGTTGATATCTTAAAGAGATCATTTGGGTTTTAAGAGGTCGGATTCAGAGCAGTTGTTATCTGCAATCAGCTCTTGTCTAAAAGCAGATAACAGTGCTTTCCGGTTGGAGATAGAGGCAGGCTAACCAAACAACAGAGTTAGCAGTTACAGTAAAGGTTCACAGCAGATTTTTACCATCTTGAAACAACCCTGATCTCAAAAATTTATTTCATTCTTTCTCCCATTACTGTAAATGTTTTTATAGAGGAGTATATAGTTGTTTGCACTGAAGAATGTGATCCAAACAAGATGATCTAATATTATATGTGTGCTATAAAATGGAAGTCAGGGTAACTATCTGAAGGAAAAACAATACCGTGCATGAATTAGCAAATAAGGTTTGTACCAACTGCTTATATTGGAGGAATATAAACATAAGATTTTTTCCCACATACACTATATTGCCAAAAGTATTTGCTCACCTGCCTTGACTCACATATGAGCTTAAGTGACATCCCGTTCCTAATCCATAGGGTTCAATATGACGTCGGTCCACCCTTTGCAGCTAGAACAGCTTCAACTCTTCTGGGAAGGCTGTCCACAAGGTTTAGGAGTGTGTTTATGGGAATTTTTGACCATTCTTCCAGAAGCGCATTTGTGAGGTCGCACACTGATGTTGGACGAGAAGGCCTGGCTCTCAGTCTCCGCTCTAATTCATCCCAAAGGTGTTCTATCGGGTTGAGGTCAGGACTCTGTGCAGGCCAGTCAAGTTCATCCACACCAGACTCTGTCATCCATGTCTTTATGGACCTTGCTTTGTGCACTGGTGCACAGTCATGTTGGAAGAGGAAGGGGCCAGCTCCAAACTGTTCCCACAAAGTTGGGAGCATGGAATTGTCCAAAATGTCTTGGGATGCTGAAGCATTCAGAGTTCCTTTCACTGGAACTAAGGGGCCAAGCCCAGCTCCTGAAAAACAACCCCACACCATAATCCCCCCTCCAACAAACTTTACACTTGGCACAATGCAGTCAGACAAGTACCGTTCTCCTGGCAACCGCCAAACCCAGACCCGTCCATCAGATTGCCAGATGGAGAAGCGCGATTCGTCACTCCAGAGAACGCGTCTCCACTGCTCTAGAGTCCAGTGGCGGCGTGCTTTACACCACCGCATCCGACGCTTTGCATTGCACTTGGTGATGTATGGCTTGGATGCAGCTGCTCGACCATGGAAACCCATTCCATGAAGCTCTCTGCGCACTGTTCTTGAGCTAATCTGAAGGCCACATGAAGTTTGGAGGTCTGTAGTGATTGACTCTGCAGAAAGTTGGCGACCTCTTCGCACTATGCGCGTCAGCATCCGCTGACCCCGCTCCGTCAGTTTACGTGGCCTACCACTTCATGGCTGAGTTGCTGTCGTTCCCAAACACTTCCATTTTCTTATAATACAGCTGACAGTTGACTGTGGAATATTTAGGAGCGAGGAAATTTCACGACTGGATTTGTTGCACAGGTGGCATCCTATCACAGTTCCACGCTGGAATTCACTGAGCTCCTGAGAGCGACCCATTCTTTCACAAATGTTTGTAAAAACAGTCTGCATGCCTAGGTGCTTGAATTTATACACCTGTGGCCATGGAAGTGATTGGAACACCTGATTCCAATAATTTGGATGGGTGAGCAAATACTTTTGGCAATATAGTGTATCTTTGCACATATGTTTAAATTATTCTGTTTTTTGACCAAAAAAAAAAAAATAGTTCAAGTAGCAGACAAAAGAAAACAAAAGTATTTCATAACCAAATTTGTTAATTGTAAGGAAATAAATGTCTAATCCAAATCTATGCAAAATGTACGGCTTATGCATTTACTGTTTAAAAGCTGGAGATGTTTCCTCCCTCTAGGATAGGAGACATATTGTATGTTATATTCCATTAAATTTGCAAAGGGAATAAATTGTTAAACCTGAGAGCTAGAAAAACTGTAACCCGTTTTTGCTGATTTACAGCCAGAACTTTAAACTTAAAGATGTTTAAGCTGGAAACATTATCATTATAATGTGCAAAATCATCACATATTTCATTATTATCATTATTCTATTGACATATGATTACATATAAAAAGTACGATTGTAGGTGGATTTTTCGTTTTCTGTAAGCAGATTAGAGATGTCCCGATCCAGGTTTTTGCACTTCCGATCCGATACCGATATTGTTTTTGGACTTCCGATCCGATACCGATACTGGCCGATACCAGCCTATCCGAGCATGTATTTAAGTTTAAGTTAAAGTATTTAGCCTTAGTTGTAAGACTCATGTTGAAAAGGGTTTTAGTACTCTTGATAACATCTAGCCAGCTGAATTAGATGAGATTAAATAAAACACAATGCTTGGTAACAACAAACTTACCTGTTTATTAAGAGATAAACACAAACTGGACAAAATTACGAATAGCAATCTGAAATTGCACAGTGAGCAGTAAAACCGTAAACAGTTAAAGGTGCAAGTATTACGGTAAGTTTTAATAAAAATGCAAAACAGGGGAACACTGGCGCAAAATAGTGGAATGGATAATTTCAATCGGCAAAACTGGAAAATACGGACCGGATTTTTCTTTAAAAACTGGATCGGCAGTCTGGATCGGCATTTTACATGCTTTGCCGATACGCATTTTTTTGCCAATATCGGCGTCCCGATCCGATACATGGATCGGATCGGGACAAGCCTAAAGCAGATAATATACATTTAATTTAATGTTGGTTTTTATAGTGGAGAAAATGTTTGCTTAGGGTTCTATTGTAAAGGTCTGCAGACGGTTTTGTCTCAGTTCACCTAATGAAGAGATACTTTCAGCAAAATAGATACTTGAAGGGGTGCTTCATGCAAAAAGTCTTATATTCATTTATAAGTCCTGCTAAATAGAAGCAGACTCTCTTCTACTATGCTGTTAGTTGAAGACACCTAAGGGGTTAGGAAATAATTAAACATATAAACCAGGCCATTCTAAAGATTGCAAACATCTGGCTAAATGTTGCCTTACTTTGCATTAACCTCCAGTCACCTAGTGGCAGCTGGAAGAAAACAACTACTAATATTGTTTACTTCTGCACAAGCAGAAAAAAATGATGCAGTGTTTATACAAGCACCCAAAAAGCTATCTAAAAGCTTAAAATGATATTTGATGCCAGATGTAGAATTGATTTTAAAAAGATAGTCATGTAATTATGATATTATCCTGAGATATCATTTTTGTAACACAACAGCACCCTGACACTTTAGGTAACAAGTTCCTTAAATGCAAAAACAATAAATGGGGAACAATAGAGATGGTATTTTTTACAATACAGTAGCACAAATAAAGGGCTTGCTGCCAAATCACAAAGTCATGTGTAGTGAGGCAGATTAACATTGTTAGAAGCCTCAACATGTTTTTGAGAAGAGTTACAATGCAAATGTTGTTTGAATTAGAAAATAGTAAAAAACAAAAAAAGATCAATGTCTTGTTAAAGAGGAAAGAGTGTCTGTCATTACTAGGGAGTGTCTTTCCTAACAGCATTTTTGTTTTGCAAAGATCTGAATATTTATTTGCTTTTATAAAACCTCAGTGTGATCTGATATGTATCCACTACATGTAAGGGAGCTCCCTCTAATAATAACTTCAGAGATTGAGATTTAAAAGATAAAGAGAACACCAAACTGCCATGGTACAAAGCCTCCTATAAACTAGCCTTTAGCTCATTTGTTTGGTAAAACTTTCTCTTTTTTGTGTCTCCATATTGAGCTTATTAACCCACCTATATCATGCAGTTGAAACCATTTTTGCAGACAACTCAACAAAATCTCCTTTTCAGTATTTCAACTGTGATAGATGAAATCAAACACTTACACATTAAGGCTACCTTTCCTCTGTTTTATACCTGTGAAGAGAGAGCAAGGATCAAAGTAGAGAAAGAGATTTGTTTGGTCAATACAAAATGGAATAAGGAGAGAAAACTCACGTTGAAGTAGCAAACCAATTATAATGGCACCAACCAATAGCACCACTACAACTGGCACAATGATGGCAGCTATGTGAACACCACTGTTTTGGCCGGCAATCGCCTGTCAGAAAAGATATAGAATTATATTTATTCACAAAGACAAATGATTGAGAAAATAGCTCAGCAGCAAGACCTGATATTAAATCAACAATCTGAAATCCTAGATGATCATATTTAAGAAGAAGTTAAAGGAATAGTACACCCAAAACATGATTAGCCTTCATTTTCTACTCACCCCCATACTGAACAACACTCTGGAGTACTTTTTTGATATCTCAAATGTATCTGGAGATCTGGGAGGCTTCTTGCTGTCTGCTGACATTCAAATAATGGAGGTCTATGGCGCCCGAGGCAGAAAGGTCCATAAAAGTCCACAAAAAACGTGTCAATATTCCTCCATACTGCTCGTCCAATGTATTCCAAGTGTCCTGAGTGGGTAGCATCCAGAATTTACTAGAAACGAAGTTATTTAGAATGTTTTTAGAGCATAAACAGTAGTGTATAGGATTTCCTGAAAGCGCGTTCACGACGCTACGGAAACCAAGCCAGACCAAACCAGATGAAAGTGTGCATTCAGTTCGGCAAAGAACTCATGCTCTTCCTCAACACTGAAGTCCTCAGACATTTTTCTTTCGTTGTTTCTTTCTTTGCACAGGTAAACAGCACATTTCTTCTTCTATGCTTGCATTATTGGCAGAGCAGACACTGAATGCGCACTTTCATCTGGTTTGGTCTGCCGGCTTCCGTAGCGTTGTGAACGCGCAGGTGCGCGCTTTCAGGAAATCCTATACACTACTGTTTATGCTCTAAAAACATTCTAAATGACTTCGTTTCGAGTAAATTATGGACGCTACCCACTCAGGACACTTGGAATACATTGGACGAGCAGTATGGAGGAATATTGACACGTTTTTTGTGGACTTTTATGGACCTTTCTGCCTCGGGCGCCATAGACCTCCATTATTTGAATTTCAGCATTTGCATTTGAGATATCAAAAAAGTACTCCAGAGTGTTGTTCAGCATGGGGGTGAGTAGAAAATGAAGGCTAATCATGTTTTGGGTGTACTATTCCTTTAAGAAGGCTGGAAGAAGTGTTCACATTTTCTTTCTGTAAGAATTAAGCAAAGCTGTGAGAAAATTAAAGGTGGACAAAGAAGTTAAGCCTAAAGCCAAAATAACATTTTATTTTTAAAATAGTTTAATGATTTTCTCTCTCCTCTAGTAAACATTATTTTATTGTTACCAGTAGTTGCATAATACTTACAGAATCGTCATTAATAGTTGACATGGTGGCAATGACACTGCTCTTTTGCTGACCTGCAAAGTCCACACCACCATGAGAAATAAAAAAAGGAACTTATATAACTTTCTTTTTTAAAAAGCTGCTTATTAAACAGAAACAACATAAAAAAACATGGATATGAAAATTGCAATTTCAGGAACTGCAATAGCGTTTTGATAAAAAATAAAGGTTTTAGCTAATAAAGACACATGGAATGATGGACGGAAGAAAGACAGATAGATGGATGGATGAGGAAGATAAGGAAACATCACCTGTTTCTTCAATGGTTACAGTGAGAACATTGCTGGCATTACTCATGCCATGACTGTTTTTCGCAAACATGCGGATGTTGTATGTTGAAGGAGTGTTCTCTAAAATCGTGGCCGTTGTCCAATCGGGTCCAAAATCTACTAATCGGTCTTTGTCCCAGGAAGCTGTGAATGAAAAAAAAAAATGTTTAAGAAAAAAAAAATAATATTTAAAAGCTAATTTAAAGCTCAGCTTGTCAGCAGTGTTAAATATACGGACTCGTTTCTCACCATTTGTGTCTTTATATTGCAGGAAGAAACCAGTAATGGGGCTGTCGCCCTCAAATCGAGGAGTCCAGAAAAGTGAAAATGTTTTTCCTTTCACCTCCTCCAACACAATTACAGGTGGATCCGGAGGCACTCCAAGCACCACAGCTAGGATATTCGGTTAAAAAAAAATTGTTTTTTGCATTTATGTCTCATTTACAATTATTCTATAACATTTGCTGAATGCTATCATGATGAAAAAAATCCTTAAGCAGTAAATAGTGAATTTTCTTTAATAGGACACAATATAACAACTTAAAGATGCAAAATAAATCACACCTGTCATGAAGCTTGTTTGTTCCAAAAGATGTTTGCTCCAAGATGTTTGTTCCATAACCGTGGATGTGGACTCAATCCCAGCTGAAGTTGGAGTTGTGTGGACTTGAAACACAGCAGAAAATTTATTTCATTTTAAATTCTTTGCTTTTTTTTTATATATTCAACCTTATGTATTTTGTAGAAAAGCATACTTGTAGTGGTTTTATGTTACATACCATCACTAAGACTTGTATACTGCATCTGTTTTGTAGAAGCAGTAGTACTAGATAACAGAGTATTGGCTGCTGTGGTTGCTTTAACTTTAAAAAAAAGAATAAAAGAATACGAATCAAACATTCAATTAATCTTTAAAATACTGTAATGAAATAAAATTTTTCCAGCTTACCTTCCTCTAGAGTGGTGCAGAAACGTGCCGTTGAAACAGGTCCTAGTCCTGCACTTGTTTTGGCCTGAACTTGAACACTGTACTGAGTTGAAGGCTTCAGGTTAGTCAGAAAGGTGCTTTGTTCTGCACCTGTAGCCGTCAAGCTAAGCTGCTTTGCCTTTAGAAATACTTTGGCCACATGGTCGTACTCCTTGTAGCTGATAATATAATTGCGTAGAACACCATTTTGGAGATCAGCCTTGGGAGGCTAAACAGAAAAACAAGCACAGCACAGGTGATGAGGTGAATGTTCCAGCCTGTGTTGGGAACTTCATATCTAACTATCCTTTTATATTGCATGATATCCGGATTGCAAACAGTAACTGTTTCGATTTTTTTTCCCTTTTAAAAATTGTTTACACAATAAAAATGTTATTTCACTAAAAGCAAAGATAGAATATATTTTCCATTAAGCAAATTGATTTTCAAATCACCTTATGTTCCCATTTTTATACTAATTTCTCAAATGCTAATCAAACCCCAAACATGGAAACTTGAAAATTATATTGAAGATGTTATTGTGCAGAAGTCATCTGAAGAAAAACAGACCAACTAAAGGGTTTACAGGGACAGTAGACATGAATAGAGATTTTACTTTTTCATTTATGTAACTTCTAATTTGCTCTCTGATTTGTGTGTGTGTGTGTGTGTGTGTGGGTGTGTTTGTGTGTGTGTTAGACTGGTAATTCAAAGGCCAGATGAGTTTTGACAGTTACCAGGATAGATTTTCCTAGAACAATTTTCTTATATTAATTTTGCTTCAGTAATATTATAATTAGTAGTATAAAACAATAAACTTTGGCTAAAAACAACATAAGCAAAGACGACGATATAAATAAACTGAACAAAATAAAATGATCAATTTAACACATTTTCAATTAAGGTAAATTATACATCATAAACTTTCTGTAAAACCATGTCACATATATATATATATATATATATATATATATATATATATATATATATATATATACGTATATATATATATATATATATATATATATATATACGTATATATATATATATATATATATATATACGTATATATATATATATATATATATATATATATATATATATATATATATATATATATATATATATATATATATATATATATATATATATATATATATATATATATATATATATATATATACGTATATATCATTCACTGTTAATAAACTCTGGTTCATGGTGTTAAACCATTCTTAGAAAATTCATGTGCATTCAAAGTTTGTGAGTTTACCTTCCATGTAGCTTTAATGATGTTAGAACTGATGGCTTCTAGCTGTATATCATTTGGTGGACCCTCAGGTGCTGCAAAAATGTCAAAGTGTTAGAAACACTGCCTTTAAGTCTGAGCTTTATTTGATATGCCAGTGAAGATTCTCAGTAATCTAGGTCATAGTCATTCCAAAAAAGTTAAAAAACAATCCACTCCAAATATATAAACCTTGAACTCAACGCTAATTTGACATTTTGAATTTAAAAAGCTTCCTGGATGGGAAGCGAAACGTCTTCAAACTTGGAAACCAAGTCCAGTGGATTGTTTTTTAACTTTGGTGGAATGAACTTTATTTTAGTCTCACATAAATATGTTGGAAACGTATTAACCTGCCTCCTTTGTTGTGAATACCAGAATATTGCTGGCTTCACTCATCCCCACACTGTTGACCACAAACATGCGAAGGTTGTAGGTCTTGGCAGGACACAAGTCGACCAAAGTCACCTGAGTCAGGGAGGCGTGTGATACTTCAGTTCTTATAGCTGTATCCCAAGATGCTGTTGCAAAGAAATGCAAAGATAGGAAATCACATTCCTCTTTCTTTATTCAGAATAAAGAATATTTGAATATCTTTATTCTTTTCAATAGAACCACTTTGGAAGGTTATAAAAACATTTTTCCCCTCAGAAATAAACTAAAACATATAAAGGGTTAATTCAACATTATTGTTGTATTGTGAACTTTTAAGTTTCCATACCTGAAGCAATTACCACAGGTTTTTCTTGTTCTTACCATATTTAAATTTCAAATCCACCGTGTAGCTGGTAACAGGACTGCCGCCATCAAAAGCAGGAGTCCAGCGTACAATAACCGTCCGTTCCCTCACCTCTCTCATTTCCACCTTTATAGGAAAAGGCTTTCCTAAAACAGTTAGAAAAGCAGCCCTGAACCAGTTACCAAGCTGCCAAATTTAAACACTGTTTTGATTAATAAAATATACTGTGAATTCTTCAGAAGTTTTAAAATATCCAGCATGCAGTATTAAAAATGTTTAAATCTTTTAGTATAACTTTGTTAGAGTTAGAAGTACCTGGATTTACTTTGAGAGTAATCTCATGTTTCTGATCATTGAACCAGCCTGGTATGTCTATACGACAGCCGTATATGCCGGAGTCACTCTCTTGAACCTGTGTGATGGTCAGAAAAGCCTCCCCCATGCCAAGGTCACCCAGAAGAGTGTAACGTTCTGAACGCCTGCTGAGCACCGTTGTCCCGTCGGACTTGATCACCTCATTTCCACAGCCACTGTTAGGTATACTGCCTCTGCCCCAGCAGAAAGGCAGCCTGCCGTAATGTTTAGAGTCATATTTGCATTTTAGAGTGACATCTGTTCCCACTGTGGCTGTTATGGGGTTTGCAGATACATCACCTGAAAAGGTAAGAAAAGATTTCAGAAAAGTCCACTTTAGTGTCATTAAATAAAATATAAAATTGTATGGCCCTTACCTGTGTTCAGGCAGAAGAGAAGACAGAAGCACAAGTTGATTAACCTCATCCTTAACTGGATCCTCTCACAGCTCTTCTCCAAGTGACTGATTAGTTCATCTGTCGGGCAGCTTTGACCTGACCACAGAATGCTCTCAGCCCTGAAGTGTTTCCCAATCACATGATGTTTTCCTTGATATGCTCACACTAACAACTTTTGGTGGCAAAAGAGGAATGGAGAAAAAACCTGTTTCCTTTCCTGTGGTTTTGGTTCCCTCTCTGAAAAGAAAAAAAGAAAAAAAAAATCATGCTGATGAATAGACAGAAGAGTTTCAGGGTTCTCAGAGTAACAATTGTGTTTTCTTACGTTTAGCCATGTGTTTCTATTTTAACTTTATTTTTTGCCAAAATGTATAAAAAAAACCTGATAGTTTTGTATATACCTCTTATACCAACTAACCAACAAAACAAACAATAATGAACAAGAATGCAGGAAATGATAACAGTACTAGTGATGAGTTTGGATAAAGATATAAAAATAAAATAAAAATGCCTGAACCTCAGAAACACAGAACATAAACATGGGTCTGATTTTTATACATCATGTTTATTAAATCAAATTGCATCATTTTATCAAGTTGTTTTTTCTTTAAGTTCCCTTTAGCTCAACTATGTTAAGTTACTACAATGCAGTACCCTTCCAAATTTACTTAAAGCCCACCACCATAGAGCAGCTAATATTCCAACATTTAGTGTGCAGATCATGCTTTGTAATGAAGTGTTAAAGATCAGCTCTCTGTGTCTACACCTTTAAGCTTTCTCTATCTGGTTCTTTTTCCTGAAAAGAGATCACTCAGGACAAATGAAATATATAAATAACATTGAATAACTTATATGTAATAAATAACAATGAGACATGACAACAGATTTTGATAGAAATTGTAATCTTACTCAGATCAGAGAAGTTGCTTAGAATTCAAGAAAGAACACTGGAAAAACGATCTAGAAATAAGTAAAATTTTCTTGGATTTAGTATATTTACCCTTAATCTGAGTAGGTAAACGAGATGGTTGCCAAAGGAATTAGTATTTTTACTCTTAAAATAAGATCATTCGTTAATATGCAATTATAATAAGACAATGCAATTGTTTTTTTCTTATTTTAAATGGTAATTGTCTTGCTCCATTGGCAAAATGTATCTTTTACTTCCTCAATTGAAAAACAAATGGAGTTATTTTAAAAAAAAATTACTCATCTAGATTTCGATTTTTTTTTCCAGTGCAGATCCCCGGGCTCACTTCTTGGGAAATGGCCCTGATGAACAGTTTAGAAGCATTTTATACATCTCCAGTCTGCCACATCATCACATTTTACATTGTACAAGTTGCAGATGAGTAGACATCCAAGGCTCCAGCCTTATCAAAATATTACAGTTTGTTCTTAGCTGAAGGACACCGCTCTCATTCCATTCCCAAATCTTTGCCAGAATGAAACGTACAGAATTAAGATTATAACTGTATTTCCAGACAGAGGAACTGTCCTAATCAGATAAACTATTGTGGGAAACATCAGTTCAAACATGCAACAGGCAGCTAATTTTAAGGTGCAATGAACTCACACATCATCATTGATAATTATCTTAACTGAAGTGACTAATCCAAACTTTAAAAATATCCACAGAGTTTAAAAAACAAAAAAATACAAAATTAAATCAAAAGAAATACTGTCTATTTGCAAAATACCAGGATTATTAGAAAGTTATTTAGGCCTCTTTCTTCAAAATCAGAGTTTTTAAAAACATTTGCCTTATTTTCTGTCTTGAATAACTCTGTGTGACTTTAGTCTAAGGATTACAATATCAAGGCTGAAGTTTGAGAAACCAGCCAAGAAGAAAAAGCCTGGACACAAATGTCTGTTTCAGAAAATAAACTTGCTGCCAAGATAGTTGCAAATTGGGATGGAGACAGTGATTGTTTCACAGAAAATCTGTTAAGCTTTTTTTTTTTCCCAGTTCTGTCAGGAGGAATTTGGCAGCATTACAGTAAACTATTGTGAAAAACCTGAGGAAATATAATCAAAATATTTGATTTATGTCAAATGGTTTAAAAGGAAATTTTTCCAAATACTTTAAGAATTCAGTTCATCTTTTTCTTTATTTGAGGATATAAATACTACTTTATTTATTAAATATTTCCTTAATTTAGTAATGACGTTAGATTTTTTCTCCTATTTCTTTCTTAATCAATGCCACTTTAAACAGGAGAGGTTACAGAGGTCCTTGCTCCCCATCAGTAACACAAGCTGCAAAGCTTGCGATCTTAGTTTTGCTAAGACATCAGTCTTGCACATCCCTAGGATCTATTTGGCTTTCTCTGTTTGGTTTGTTTATGATTATTATATCAGAGCAATAAACATTCAAAGAAAAAGAAAAAAACATGGATTGTTTAGGGGTAAATGGTGGTTGGATCTGTGGTTTGATAATTAACATATGGGAAGAAAGAAAATGTTGAACTGGATGTGTACTCTTTGACTCAAGTGAAAATAGAAAGTCTGGTTTACCCTAAGCCATGGACTCTTGCATGTAGTTTGTACTGCTGACCAAACATTTGGTTCTCTTTGGGTGTTTTGTAACCCATAGAGAACTTCCCCTCTAGCTACTCCTTATTAAGCATGAGAATGGAGTAGTTTGATATATCTCAAAATATTTACAGCAGCAAAAGCAAATTAACCTTAGTTTCAGTTGCAATGTGAACACAAACAAATTAAAGTTCCAGAACAAATGCACCATTTAAAAACTACTTTTACATTTAAACTTGCAAGATATTCTATTCTCCGATAACTTATTATTGAGGCTGACAGATGGTTTGGGATTAAGGGATAAAGAAATATCTTGCTTCATGTATCTGCTTCCTGATGAAAACATAAACCTGAAATGCAATTAATGAAACAATAATCCATCCATCTGTTCTCAATATTCAGGAAATCCTTGCAGTGTAAATTAATATATACAAATCATTTTTTACTTAATAAAGATTCTAATAGGAATAATGATATCATGAGGTTTGAACTTTCAAGTCTTTGGCGTTTAAGGGTCTTCCTGCTATCACCCTATTTTCTAGCTTCAACTAGAGATTCACTTAACTAGTTCATGGAAAAATCTGGCTGGGCTCATTTATAACATTTAGATAAATGTCTGCAAAATAAAAAGATTGCTTTAACCTTAATCGGACCAGGTAAAAGGCAAGTGGGTGAGAGAAATCCTGAACAGCCTGACATGACAGGGGAAGGTAGAACATGCTGATGTTGAAAATATGGAAAAAACGAACTGAAAGGGAAACAGAAAGACTGAAGCTTATTTCTGTGAAATTTGGTAAATCAAAACCATGTCGGTAAATAGTTGGAAAAAGGCCAAAATGTCATCATTTTTATCAATAATGAAAATAAAAGCCTTGATAATGGCTTTATGCTGGCTTTAAAAAATCTGTACTATTTTCTGCTTTATGTAAGAAGTATTGCATTATATTATTATTGAATTCCCAAATGGTCAAAAGAATATTTGATTTGAAAAATAAAATAGACATTAAACTTATAGAAAAGCAACATACTGATCTCTTTATACACTTGTTCTTCAGAAAGGAAACGCATCAAAGTGACACATACACTTTAAAAAGTCAAATATTTCATAATATCCCCTGTAATTTGCATCAACGCCTCAAAGTTTTTTTTTTTTAAAACACTAATGTACCTGAAAAAACAGGTAACTGCATGACAGCGTATCTGAAGAGCAAATAAACATGCAAATTTAAAATGTCGACAGCCTCTAGAAGTATGACATGAAAGCCTTAGCAATGTGGTTTAATCAAATGCTTTTAGGACAAAGTATCATTGAATTTTGCTCAATAAAACTGTCCTCATACCAGCCGTCTTTCTAGTTATGTAATAAAATAATTTGATAGGCATGAATTTAATTTTATAAAGATTCTATGTTACAATTCTTCCTTGAACAGGATTGATTCTTCCTTACGTTACAACTGGTAGATCTGGCTGTAAGATGAATTGTGAGAGCAATGTCTGAGTAGAGAGCTGGCTTTGTAGAAAAGGTGTTATTTTTTTACTAAAAACACAAGTTTAAATAAAACATATTTTTTTGTATTTTAGTCTAATTTACTCCTTACGTCTGCTTTGGTGCATCATATGCTTTTAAACGTCTCACTGCAAAGGTCAGCAGATTCAAGACCTATATGAGCCTAAATGACGTGAATCACTAGCCCAACCAAAAAGCCCATGGAGTAAACCCATATCAAATATTTCAGCTTGCCTATGAAAGCCGACTCAAGAAGAAAAGTATTAGTTACACTGCTGTCAGATCAGGTTAAGGTTTATAAAGTAAAGAGTAATGAGGTTGTTTCACTTTTTTCATAACTCATCTTTATTTAGGACATCTATATCTTTCAGTTCATGACTGTATTCATTAGGCAAGGCAAGGCAAATTTATTTGTATAGCACAATTCAGTACAAAGACAATGCAAAGTGCTCTACATGATTAAAATATAGGAAAATAAAACAGAATCAAAGCCAGTAGGAAAAAAATAAATAAAATAAAATTATGCAGAAACAAAAAAGAATATTAAAAACAGTTGGACTAAAGAAAATAAAAAAGTTGAACTAATGATGTTTCATTTGAACTGTTTAACTAGAACAGTCACAGGCAATCCGACTGTTAACATTAATTGATCAATCTTATTTAATGATTTTATTCAAACAGATTTACAAGCATAGACTTAGACAGACTTCATTGTTAAGCCACCTCAGACCCTGAAACAAACCACAGAACCATAATGTGGCTGAGTTAGACTTTGACTTGGACAAACTTTAGTTTCATTTTGTATACACAGAGTGAATACAAAACAACATTTCGATGCATATAGTGTATGAGCAGCTTAGCAGTGAAATTAACCTTTCCTTTTATAAAGTGCAGCAGTGATCAAAATGAAAACAGTGTAGGAGAAAAGGAAAACCAGTTTAAACTCATGTTGCAAGCCATTGATATAGAAAGATTCGGTTCTGTGGAAAATAAATTGATATGATGCAAAATTGGTGCACAAATTGGGGGCAGGTGGGCTCTCCTCATAGAAAATCCTCAATTGATATTAATCCATCCGTTGCCTTTACCAAGTTGTCCTTGTTAGGTCAGGGAGGAGTTCAGTTTCATGGGGCAAGAAACAGGGTACACCTGGGATAGGTCACCAACAGGACAAAGTAGGGACATATAGGGCTATGCATGCATAAACTCTATGGTAGCAACACCCTTCTGTAGCTGTTATGTCCTTTATTCTCCCTCAGTGGGAAGTAAAGGTGGATCAATGGAAAAAGTTACTATAAAAAATTATAAAATGGAAAATAAGGTTAAGGAAAACCTTAATGTAACAGAAGGAACTCTATTACTGTGGAATGAAGTTTGCTTCAGAAATTCAGGTTATTCTCACCATCTGCATCAATATCATGTATATGATTGGAAAATTGATTTTGTGAATTATAGTGATTCTGCTAAAGGAAGAAATTACGCTGATTAAGGTGAATTTTGATTGAACATTAGATAACTAATATAAAGATAAGAATGCATTAGTTGAAAGTAGGAGTATGACACCTGAAGAGTAACCCACTCTTTTGATCCTTCTATTCTATGATTGCTTTCTATTCTTTGTTTTGAACCACTATGTTCTGTAATTCCCCTTTTCGAGTTCAGTAAAGCTGCAAACATAGACCTGCTGGAAAAATGAAAATTATTTGAGGAAGCATTTCATGTATAAAAAAGCTTAAAGGAGTAAGGCTAGATAGAGGTTGCCATATTCATTTCCTCTATTCTTTAAATCATGGGGGCACATTTATGATAAAATCATCCAATCTACGGTGTAAAGGTTGATGCTTTCTTATATGTAACTCTCTGTAATAGAATGCTTGTTTACGTGTAACAATGCTGCTCTGAGAGCTGATCGTAATTCATACAAAGTATAACTGGTTATAGAATAAAGTTAAATAAAGATCAATCAACATCGGAACACAGACTAACAGTATCTAACCTAAAGTATCTATCTGCACATTAAAATCTATTTTTTTATGTTTTATATTTGCATATATTAATTGTGTAGAATAATGAAGGTGCTTGTTGCATTTTAAAAACTGAATTCTTAAAATGTTTTCTCATTAACCAAGTTTAAACACCTCCATCACAAATAGTCACCAAAAATAATTACTGACTGGTTTCTAAATGTATGAAAGCTCATCTGCATAGTCTCTGAAGGTAATGCAATTTCAGCCTTATAGTCTTTTTTAATTTACACAGTACTGCTTTCCCACATCCTATTATAGACTACTACTTAGTGATGAAGTAGGCTCTGTTATCATGATTGGTAGAGACTGGCTCCCCCAGACTTTAGATGATTAAATCTTTAAAGGTTAATGATCCAATCAGCAGATACAATAAAATACATCCTACGATGAATCACTGAATCGTTGTTTGTTGGTAATGCTTTGTTTCTCTCTGTGCTTGAATACTTGATTTAAGTAGACAGGTTTTATTGAGGCCTAAACAAATAAAAACTTGATCAATGATAACATATTGTAACTGGTAATTACACACAGTTTAAAAAAACAAACAAGGACTTTTCAGAGTGCAGAGAAACAATGAAAAGTCTACTGATTGTGACCATTTCCTCTTGTCTTATAGAAGTCTTGTCTCATAGAAAGATACTTTACATAATAAAATAATAAATACAGAAATACGGCATCAAATGCTTAAGTTAAGCCAAAAAGATCTACAGAAAAAAAAAACAGTTAATTGTACCGTAATCCCTGAGCAAATGTTTAAAAATAAACATTACCAGAAGAAAAAAAAGAAATCTGTCTTTAACTTTAAAAATATAAGGTCAATTAAGTTATACACTTGAAAAACGATCTAGAAATAGGTGAAAATTTTTTAAATAAAGTGTATTTACCATTAATTTGACTACCGTAAGTAAATGAGATAATTTGCCAATTGAATTAGTATTTTTACTCTTAAAATAAGATAAATAGATAATGTGCTCTTGAAATAAGACAATGTGATTATGTTTTCTTATTTTAAATGTAAATTGTTTTGTTCCATTGGCAAAATGTCTCTTTTACCTCCTCAATCCAAGAACAAATGCACTTATTTTAAGAAAAAAATGACTTATCTAGGCTTTGAATTTCAGCATCCACTCAGCTGATATATAAAAAAAAGAAATAGAACAATATATCAGCTTCATTATTTTTGATTATACTTAATCTGTCCAGTAGGTGGCACTGTGCCCACAACTATAAACCATCACAATCGTTTAGTGACAGAAAGAAAATAAATTTGAGCAGCTCAGTTAATTAAATGGACCAAGGTTTATCATTAACATCTAAAAAGCTTTGGTAATACAATAATTCGTTAGTGTGATTATAAGAGAAATGTTCAAAGACATGATTTAAAGGAGCAAAACAAAAGGGAGTTATTTATAACATGATGTGAAGCCAGAAGAAATCTTTGGTATCCTCTTTTGTCCAGGTGCTGAGCATCATTTAACCACTGGGATGGTTTCGTAAATATTCTCAATGGTGAACTGGTTGAGTTCCTGAGGGGTCTTTCTTCGTATTAGTTCCTTCCTTCCTGTTTTGGAGAAATGCAGTAAATAGATGGGTTCTCAGTCAAAAGAAGGAGGATTAGTGTAAATGAATCCTGGCAGCAGAAGGATGAAGCACATTCTATAAACTGCTGTGCACTTACGGATGATAAGGATGAGAATTAGGATTATGGTGAGGAGGAAAATAGCTGCAATCCTCCCAATATTTTCTGCTTCTAAGAAAAGTTTGAATTTCCCCTGCAATGAAAAAGTAACCAGTTAGCAATAGTTTGGCCATTTCTTGTTTGTCATATTATCTCAGAAGACTCTTTAAAAAACAAATTATATTTTCTTTTTTTTTTTGCCATTTTTACCCCATAAGTAATTATTTTAATGGATTCTCTTAAAATACCTTTTTTTTTTTCCCAAATCAGTTCCCAAACAAATTTGTGGATAAACTTTACAAATCAGTTTCAAGTTATGCTTACTTATCAATGTATTTCTTTCTTTAACAGCCTCTTACCTGACCAATGACGCTTTGAATTGTTGCCATGCTTGCTTCTTTAGCTTCCATCTCATGCAGAATCATAATTTCTGTAAAAATTAATTCATGAATTTGATCCATCTGGCATCAAATTTTCAACAAGTTTTTCATATGATCTGGACTTATAATAAAATGTCTAAACATTACATTTTATTAATTCATTTCCTTGAATGTTCTTGAATTAGAATACTGCCAAAACATAAAAGATATGAGTGTATCAGCACAAAAATAAATTATTGCTTCGATATGATATGAGTTGCTAATGAAATGTTAATTTATTTTCTGTTGGTTTTATTAAAGGGATATCAATATTACTGGTGGGCAATAAAATACCTACCAGCTAAGAAGGATGTCTGTGCATTGTACAGTTTGAGCACAGAACAATAGGTCAAGGTTCATTTTGATGACTTCACTGATGATTGCCTTAGCGTAGCGTGACATGGAGGTGGACCCTCCTGTGGCTCAGCTGAGATTTAAGGAAGCCCATTTATTTTCTTCCAAGCCCAGTTAAGACACTTTTGTTTTCCATTTTTCAAGCATATCTTCACATAAGCAATGCTGCAGTTCTATACGTTTCCTATGTTCTTTATGTGGAGGCTCTTAAGGTTCTGACTCCAGTGACTGTCCAGCACTTGTAAATGTTAAATTGCTGTTGTTTACAATCCTCTAAAGGCTACCGTTATCCCTGTTAACTGTCCACCTGTTTCTACCTTATTTTTTCCATCCACTCAACTTTCCGTTAATATGCTTGGATGAAGCAAATCAAAGAAGAGCCAGCTGCTTTATTAGCACCCTTTCAGAGGTTACCCTCCATTTTGAGAGTGGATTAACTTGCTATTGTTGTGCCAGCAGCCTTCCCATAGAAACAGAATTTTAGGTTTTGTAATTAGATCATAATCATTAAAATGAACTTGAGCAGTTGAATATTATCACTCATATGTGTACTAAATTTTAAACTTTGAAATTACACTTTAATTATAAAGATACAGCAGTGCTGCAAATGATTACATACCTTCCCTTACTGTCACACTGGCAGTCTCTGTTGGGTTTTTGATGTGAACTTGTTCCACAGGGGCTAAAAAAACAAAAACAGAATATCATATTATGTCATATTATTTTACGATAATATGACATTCAAAATCATTTTCTGGTTTTCTGAGTCAAATGGGCTTTATAGTTCTCATAGGACAGACGTCAGCAACCTTTGCCAAACAAATAGCCGCTTTTACTCTCGCTTTTAGCGAAAACTGTCTTTGAAATGTAGAAAAACTTGACTCAACCTGAAAAAAATATATTATACCAGAATTTACAGAAATTCTTTACCGTAATAATATCAGAACAGCTCAAAACAACCTTTTTATGTAATTTAATTATTTTCTAAAGTAATCTTTAGTTAAATCTCATATTTGGTGAAACTATTAAGAAGCACTCTTAGAAGCTCTTAGAAGCCATTTGCAGCTGCATACATTCAGGTTGCAAACCCCTACTGTGGGACAACTAGTCACAGATTGCACCTTAGTTTACATTTAAACAATGCATTGCACATGCATTTCCCAAACCCTGCTCCTTTAAAGTGGAACACCGTTTTTTTTTTTGTTTTTTTTTTACATTGGCCCCTTGATTTTATTAGTTTGGGTGATTTGGAGCTGTTCCAACGATATTTGGTTTTGTAATATCCAAGTAACGTCTTCCTATGGGCAGCGAGATTAAGGCACAAACTTCAACATTGTTGATAATGTATTCTTTATGGTACGTCAGCATTCATAACATGTAGGCGAATCACTGTCCCCCAGACATCTGCAGTTATATTTTTTGAAAACAAAGTGCAGAGTGTATGACGTCATCCAGGCACTGGACTGGAGTTGTGACAGGCAGCCTGGGCCACAGGCGGCTACGCTCTACCCCTTCTATTCATTCGGCTAGCTAATCTGAATCGTTCAATTCCATTTCGAGAGCGAGATCATCTGTGGTAGTAGCACCAGTGTTGGGCAAGCTACTTGTCCAGTGTAGTGAGCTAAGCTATCAGTTACTCAATAATAAATTAAGCTTCACTACACAAAAGCTACCACCTAAAGAATTATAGCAAGCTAAGTTACACTAATGTGTTAACAGTAGCTTAACTACATCAGAAACGACTTAACATTGTACCAACCTAATATCAATTCAAAATGAGTCTGATACACTGGTTAAAATATTTATTAAAGATCAGCCAATGACATAACCAGTGATGGGACTAACGGCGTTGAAAGTAACGGCGTTACTAACGCCGTTACCTTGTTTTAGTAACGACTAATCTAACTAATTACTTTGACTGTAACTATAACGCAGTTACCATTGCAGAGTCAGACACCCCGTTACTGCGCGTTACTCAGGTCGCACAATGAACCTTTTTTCATGATAGGACTCATGTGCAGCGGCGTGAGGCTGACACCCCATCCACGTCAAAAAACTCTGCAAATAGACTGAATGGTTAGTGCAACGTTAGTGCAGATTTGTGCAGAAAAAAATATTGTTTGTGCTACTTTTGTTTAAGAGATATTAAAGATTATTTTTTAGGTCATCCAGAGATGCGCGCCTTGTCATGAGAGAGGGGAGGATAAGAATGGCTGATGTATAGTGAGATTCCATCTGTCAGTTGGGTAGGTGGGTGTTTCTGCTGGTGGGTGTTAACGTACAGCACACACAGAGAGATGGAGAGTGAGGATGAATCCAGCAGCAAAACAGCGTTTTCCTGATGGAAATACAGGTGTTACGTCGAGCTGCGTTTCCCCATCACATAACGGTTTCCTCTGCATCTCCGCACAGCGCAGGGAGCAAAAGTCACCGCGCAAGGAAAAAAAAAGGACAGGAAACGCGCATGCTTGCTAAAGGCGCGCAACACTCGCCCGGTGCTCTCGCCACAGGAGAACTATGGAGAGCGTGAACGATCAAATGATAGCCTATATGAAGAAAGGGAGAAATCTGGATGGATGGATGGATGGATGGATGGATGGATGGATGGATGGATGGATGGATGGATGGATGGATGGATACTCTGACTTTTCAACCTACTGTATTTTTTATTTTAAACATTATTTGATGGCCTTTGTGGCAGGGATGGACAGTGTTGGGAAAGTTCTCTTTCTACGTGAACTAGTTCAAAGTTCAGTTCACACATTTTAAAATGAACTAGTTCAGTTCATAGTTCATAATTCAAAACCAAAAAATGAACTAGTTCATAGTTCTTTTTTTTATTTTTTCATATATTGCTCAATTACACCATAGCCTACTGTAGAACCACAGACAGCAATTATTTTATCAGTTGTAACTCTGAAACTGTGCGTCAGATTTCATCTTCATATCCAGTTTTGAATCCTTATCCAACCAGGGTTTACATTAGCATTGAGGGGACAGCATTTCCCCATTGCTGCTTTAACGCTTTGTTGCTGTCCATTCACTTCACACTAGTAGCAGCTGCAGCTTTCACCCCTACAGTATATTCTCAAAAACATCAGGAAAAATGTGCTGCTTGAATGGTCTTTTTTATGAGTAATTATTAAAAGAAAAATAGGAAAGTAGTCTTTAAGGTGCAAATGTTTTTTTTATTTTAATAATCTTTTCCATTTGAAATGCCATTTCAATACATACTAAAAAGGAATACTGGAATCCTGGAAAATTATACCAGGCAGGTTTAACAAACAAGTTACATGGATAGTAAAACCCAGGGCCGTGCAGAGACCACTAAAGGGGCAGGTGCTCAAAAAAAAAAGGGCACATCTTATCGCATTTTAGGACAGAATATTAACAAAGTCACATAGCTTTCAGAGTTTAATGAACAATGATAAATTACAAAATTGTGAGACATACAATCAAAGCTAAGGGAAATCTCTACATATAACATAGAACTATGCATATGTAAAATATTTTATTAGTAATTTCGTTCTGCAGGTCTATTTTGTTATAGGAAAGTATTACAATATTCAAACCTGCAATCTAGCCAAAGATGTAAATCAGAGCTGGACCACCAGACATATTTTGTCTTTACAGAATTAAACTGTTAAAAATGCATACAAGGGCACAATGCAACTTTTTAGTGTACTGTAATCTATAAAAAAGAATGTCTGCCTGGTTTGCTGTACTGACAGTGGATATGGAGACGGTCCATTCAGAAAAGCAGAGCTGCTGCATCAAACTTTAACGTGGAACTGCAGAAAAAAAAGAACAAAACAAACATTTTATTAATGCATGTCACCATGAGAAAAGCCTACTCTGTTTGTGTCTTAGTGTATTTTGTAAGTACCTATATACATTTTCTTCAATCTTTCCTCTTCGTTTTTTTCTTGTCAGTTTCTCTTTTCTTTTTTTCCTCATTGTCTCATCTTTTCTGTGTTGAGTGAAGGTCAATGTCTTATTGATTTCAGTCTCTTGCCTTTCTTTTTCCCCCAAACTAAATCCAAGATTATGATCCAAAAACTTATTTTCTATCATGGTGATTTAACAGTTTAAAAACAAATTTCCAACTTTTAAGCATTTTTGCTATTTTTGTTCTCTTTTGTTCACAGCAGCAGTTTTCTGTTAGCCATGTCTTTAAAAATGTTAATAACCTCACTGTGAATGATTGGCACATCCTTCTCGATTGCCAACAAAAGAAGGTCTGACAACCGATCCTCCTTGCATAAGCTGCGCAGTTTTGTTTTCACCAGCTTCATACATTATATCTATCATATATCTATCATGGTAGTTCTGGATGAGTTCTCCTTCAAGATACATTTACCTAATGCTAGAATAAATGAAATGTACATCATGCAGCAAAGGAAATTAGAAAATCAGACATATATCCATTATGGAGATGATAGGTTTTTGACGGGCGATGTGCCCCTATTGCATAAGTAATACTGAAGAATGTCCTACTATCATTAACGACACAGGGAAGCTTTTTAGTTATCTTGCTTTGCTAGCAAAGTCATTAGCTAGCAGCTAGCTCATAGCACAAGAACAACAGCCTAATGTCTATATGATAAAAATACTGAATCGATAGATAAGAACAGCTTTTCCTCACCTGGCTGTCTCCTCCCGCTCAGTAGTTCTTCAGAGAAAGGAGCGCCACATCCTATACTTTCCTCCGTTTAAACCGCTACTCTTTGCTAAAGTAGAGAAATTATACAACGTTCAAAGGTTTCCGTTGTCTGACAAGTAGGAAGCCTACTCCAGTATTTTCACCAAAAATTATGTTTTTTAATTCACAAAAAAAACTGTTCTGTAATCATTACAGAACAGTTTTTTGTGAATTAAAAAACATAATTTTCAATGTAAAAGACTAAAAGCACAGAGTAAACAGTGTTTTAGATCAAACAATACTGCATCATCCATGGGGCTCATTTGGTTTCACTTACATCTCTATTCAGGTTGACATTGGAGAGGCGGTGCAGACTGAAGACATAGCCATCCGTCCGATCATGGTTGATTTTGCTTAGGGCCAAATGAGCAGCGGCCACAGTGTAATGTGGAATATTCGCTACCTTTAGCTCCGCAGTTAGCCGCCTTATCTGACTGTGCGAGAGGCAAGTGCGTCCTCACCGGCAAAAGGTCAAAGGTAACAATGTGACCGGAGGGCTTATTGTATTGTTTTTCTTGCCAAAAAAAAAGATAATAATAATAATTTCAGTACATGTGTCAAATAAAAAAATAAATAAAAAAAAAAGGGACCAAAAGGGCACATTGGGATCATGGAGCAAAAGGGGCAGGTGCTCAAGCCCCCTTAGCCCCCCCCCCTCTGCACGTGCCTGGTAAATCCCTCAAGAACAGGGGTCTTCTATGTTTTCCAGACCAAGAACCCCCAAACTGATGGCGAGATGGAGCGGGGACCCCCTAACTATATATATTGTATGAAATTGTTTCCTATAGTCACTCTATTACAGATGGAGTAATGTAAAGAAATTAATTTCTCCCTGGGATTATTAAAGTTTTTCTGTTTCTGATTCCTGGTTGTTGTGAAGGAAACGGTGCCCAGCTTGAAAGAGCTCCTGTGTGTCGCTAAATGTGAGCATTGATGACTGAAAGACATCTTTTGTCTCCATTTATCTGTTTACTACAGTGTTTTGATTTCATGTTAATGAGTATTTAAAGACATTTCAATTAGTGGGGGAAAAAATTGCAGGGGGGAATATAAAAATATCAACTAACCATGCAGACCCTGATGCAGTACCTCCGTAGACCCCCTAGGGGTCACGGATCCCCTGTTGAAGACCTCCGCTCAAGAAGATTTTACTAACACAAACTGAGGGACCAGGCTGAGGTAGGAATTTAAGGTTACTGAAGTGCGGATTTTTTTTACTGAAAGCCGGTGGGCAAACTTGTTGCCATCATCCTCACCGACCACCTGGTTATAAACCTGTTTTAAGTGATCATACTGCTGCTTTTTCGCCTCCACGCTGCTGTAGCTTTCACAAGGCATTTTGTTTTGATGACGCACGCGGCTGTAGGCTACGACGCTGGTAGCTGGTGTTGCCAGATTGGGTGTTTTTCCCGCTACATATTAAGGCCTGTTTACGGTGTGATTTAGCCGGGGTTTCGCCTGGAGGACTCTATAGAAATCTGGCAACCTATTGAACGGAGTTGAACTGAGAGAGCGTGCCGTTCACAGACACCAGAATGAACGAGTTCACAATAACGTTCATCAGGCAATAATGCGGTACGTTCAGTTCACGTTCGCCCAAAATATGAACGAGTTCATGAACTTTCGTTTAATGAACGCGTTCAGGCACAACACTGGGGATGGATATCCATATTTTATGTCACACACAGAGTATACATCTAGATAGATAGATGGATAGATAGATGTTGCAGTATCTATAACAACCCAAACACACAGAATTTCAGAATTAGACATCCCCAGTTATTAATTTCATATACTCACCAGATCTGAATGCCCTGTTAAAAAACTTCACATCGCGTTCCCCCCGATGTCATTTACGTTGAGTTACAAGAAATGCAAATGTCTCTGCAGGTTCTTGTTCCTACATGTTATGAATGCTGGCGTGTCATAAAGAATAAATTATGAACAGTTTAGTTTGTGCCTTCAGCTAGTTGCCCATAGGAAGACATTACTTGGATATATCCAAACCGAATATCTTCGGAACGGCTTCAAATATGGGTGAGTAGAACATGATGTAATAATGTAAAATCAAGGGGCCAATGTAAAAAAAACTGGCGTTCCCCTTTAACACACCTTGGTTGCTTCACAATGATTCCACCTTCAGCAGGATAGTACTGAAGAGATGGAATAATAAGTTCATAAACTGGTTATTCTGTAACTGATTCAATCCGAGCTGAAGGTTGTATTCTATGTGGAGAATGTGTGATAGCTGGAGCCCTGTCCACTAACTCCTGCTAAAGACTGGAATTCCTTCATCCGAATAACCAGTTGGGAAATTTCCATAGATACTGATGTCCCATACAATAGCTTTACCTTCTTCCATGATCAGTTGTATGTTGGTCTTTTGGTCATTGAACCATCCAGGAATTTCCACCCTGCAGCCATAGTCACCAGCATCTTCTCTCTGAGCACTGAGAATGGTCAAGGAAACATTACCCTGCTTCACCCGACTCAGCAGTTGGTACCTGAGGGACTTTCTAAAAGTCACATCTCCAGATTCCGATGACAGGATTGTTTCAGAACATTTGGATGTGGGGACCTTCTCGCGTCCCCAGCAGAAACTTAGAACTCCATGAGCTTTGGCATCATAAATGCAGGGCAAGGTAACATCTTGTCCAATGTAACCGGTGACTTTGATGTTGCAGGATGACACTGTGTAGAGAAGACAGATCCATACAAGTCCAGCCAACGAGCAACGAACAATAACAAACAACAGCAAAATAAAAGAACATAAAATAGAGATTTACCTTGGAACAGGATGAGAAGAAAAGGTACAAAAACACCAAACAGGTGTATAAAGTATCGTACAACCATGTCCGAAAGAGGGGAGACAATGATTTTCTGCCCCGACGTACTCTACTGGGCAAATTGTGTTCTTTCTTGCTAAAGCTTGAAGTTCCCTTTTTAAAAATTCAGGAAGGAAGTTGCTACCCTGTCTAAGTGTGAATCTGAAATCCTCATGTACCATATCACATACACACATATCTTGAACTATTATAATCCACTTTCATGAATTTGGTGGCACTTCCTTTTAACATGCTCCTAAATTTGCTGGAAGTAGAATAAAAAAGAGATCAGAGTGTAATGTTGATGTAATTACTAGTGTCGTCAAAATAGGAAGCTATAACCACCAAAGGAAACACAGAAGAAAACTGGTTCCAAAAGGAACCTTGATGTCTGACTAACTTCTATCTTACACAATTGTTTCACAGAAGCTGTTTTGAGATGTTGAAAAATTATCAAAACAAATGCCGTCATTATTTTAGTGGGAATTCTTCATGTTATTTCCTCTACCGTGCAAATGTGACATTTCTTTAGGTGTAATAAAGGAACATTTATTTATTCTTTGGCTGGAATGACTGGCTCCATTCTGATTTTAAGATATCTTTAAAATCCTGCTGGACTTCGGGTGCTATCGACATTAAAACATGAGATTTATCTCTTGGTTATCGTGTTTCCAATCATTACCTGATCCCTGTAAATGTTTTAGCTCTGCTTTGTGGCTTCAAAGAAAATGCTTAGCAGGCTTGTTATACGCCATAGAATCAAAAATAAGGCAGGAAGCTTTTCCTCTGCAAGGACTGTTTGCAGAGTAAACTGCCTTGATGGGTTTTTGCTGTTGTTTGTTTTAAACGGATGCAGGCAATTGGTATTTTAAAGAAGCCCTTCACTGTCACTTGCATTATAGTTTCATCTCATTCTGCTTTTATAATCACACACTACAATCAATGTAAAGAGGGTTTGGAAATATATCATGAATTTTCTCCGCTTTTGCTAGCGCTCTGGTCGCCGCTTGTCTTATGAATTCATTTATTCTTTATTTTGCACAGTTATACTAATTATACATGTCAAAAAATGACTATAATATGTTTGAATTTGTTTACATTCTGTCGTGGTACATCCTTTAAATTGACTGCAGTGCACTGGGATCTTATCAGGCAAAACTTCACATGCTATATAACTTTTAAGTGGAAACAAAGGGGTGTTGTTCATTTGCATGAAGCCCCATTTACTCTGAGACGCCTTAGTTTAACCAACAACTTATTACTTTGGTTAAAGCAATCCTCCTGTGAATAATTTATGATTTGCATAAATCCAACTGTTCTTTGTTAAAGAGCAGCACAGAACAAACAAATGACAAAGAAATGCAGCTGGAACTATAGGCTTTGGAGGGCTTACAAGAAGGGTGAGGTATAGTGAAACATTACAATTACCTCTGAACAAAGTTTTGTCAGCTTTTCAAACCACAATGAATAATGTCATTAGCCGAACTACGTCAGCTAGTAAGAAAATACTATAGAAAAAGGAAGTAATAAGGCTTAAATTTGCCCACAACTTCAGCTAACTCCTCAAAATAAGATCATCGTCAGCATGTGCAAAATGTAACTTTGCTTCTAATTGCATGCATGGACAAAATATCTGTTGCTGACATAAAAAGGAATTAGTGACTGGCAGAATTTTTTTTGTTAAATGAGTGAGGTGTAGCAAAAACACACAATTGCAGACTTAATTAGGATCTAATCTATTTCAATAACTTTAATTTTTCATTGGCAACATCTGAATTGACCCTACAGATTAAATTGCTGGGTTTTTTTTAGCTCACTATATTCTGCTATATTTGCTGTTTGATGTTTTTCAGTCAGTCAATATGTCCATCCATCCATCCATCCATCCATCCATCCATCCATCCATCCATCCGTCCGTCTATCCACCCATCCATCCATCCATCCATCCATCCGTCCATCCACCCATCCATCCATCCCTCCGTCCATCCATCCATCCATCCATCCATCCATCCATCCATCCGTCCGTCTATCCACCCATCCATCCATCCATCCATCCATCCGTCCATCCACCCATCCATCCATCCCTCCGTCCATCCATCCATCCATCCATCCATCCATCCATCCATCATCCATCCATCCATCCATCATCCATCCGTCTGTCCATCCACCCATCCATCCCTCCGTCCATCCATCCATCCATCCATCCATCCATCCATCCATCCATCCATCCATCCATCATCCATCCATCCATCCATCCATCCATCCATCCATCCATCATCCATCCATCCATCCATCCATCCATCCATCCATCCATCATCCGTCCGACAATCCATCCATCCATCCATCCATCCATCCATCCATCCATCCATCCATCCATCCATCCATCCATCCATCAGGGTGGCAGTGGGGCCAGTGTCTATCTCCAGCAGTCTTTGCGCCAGATGCAGGGTACACCTAGGTGAGGTCACCAGTTTGTCACAAGGGGTTAATTATTTTCCTCTGGACATTATTTCTTTAATTTTGGTCAGGTTCTCTTGGATTCCCCCTTGTGTTTTTCCTTCCTTTGCAGGAGCCTTTAATGCAATATTTCTTTAAAACATAACGCTTTGACCAAAAGGGAAATTACATGTAGTTGTAACTCATAGTTGTTTTTGTTTTTTTTCAACAAAGTGTTGTTTATGTTATATACGTATAGTGCATGTATATGTTATAGCTGTACGCAGGAAGGATATTCTGTTGGGCTCTGTCTTGGACGGATCTGACTGCCTTATAAGAAACATGACCACTTAAAGAGGCATTAAGGGCTTTTCTAATGGTACTGCCACCTGTGGTCAAAACACTGCAGCACTCTTTTGTTCATTCTCACAGCTCGCAATCATACTTAACACCAATTTCTTTTCTTTTTTTTTGCTTTTTTCCCCTTACCTGGAATTGCCATTATTGTCTGAGCTGAACTGGATGCCAGTCGCATAATCCATCTAAAGTATAACATGCATACATTAACATGGACATGCTTGAAGTCACATCTGCAGAACTTCCCGAAGTAAATTAAGGTAAGTACGCTCAGGGGCGGATTTAGGAAATTTGGGGCCCTAGGCAAAGACAGGCAGGGGGCCCTCTGAATTGAGAAGACAACACATAGAACAGACCCATTCTACAGATAGAGAAATGTTAATATAATAGACATCCATTTTCTGTTCTTGGTTTTGTCCCTCTCTTCTTGTCCCTTTTCTTCTTGTTTTCCTCTCTATGTTTTGTACTTTGCTGACTTTTCATGCTGTCTCTAAAGGAATTAAAGTTTTTTTCCAAGCACTACGCTCACTTAGCTGATTTCTCCTTCCTGTGTTTCCAAAAAGGCAAAAGTAAATAACCCAGTCCTTCTTTTCACTGTAGACAAGCCATGATCTGCTTATCTGTTCTCAATTTTTCATTTGGATGAAATAATAGCTGCATGAATCATGACAGCAGACAAGATAGAGGAGAGCAGGAGGCGGGGTTACCAATCTACTCGCTCTGGAGAGCAGAGTTCGCTGCTTTTAGATGTTGTCTCCAAAGTCTCCAGTAGCAGAAAAAAGTCGCTAGATTTGGCGCTAGGAGCTTTTTTAGAAATCAAAATTATAGAGGGGTCTGAAAAGTGGCTAAATATAGCAACTAAAGCTCTAAGTTGGCAACACTGCTCTTTGCATCGTTTGTTTTCAAATGGTTTGCTGCTGTCTGTTTGGCCCTTTCTGAACATGAGCAGCAAATGGACTGATCCAATATGGTGGACACTGAAGGGGGAGGGCTGAGACACACTTAATATTATCAGCGTTCTGATGGCATTTTAGCCAAAGGATTTTGATCAAAAACATAATTAATGTGCACAAATAAGGAATAGTTAATCATACATGGAAACAGAGTTTTATGGGGCCCCCAGGGATTTGGGGCCCTAGGCAACTGCCTAGTATTGCCTAATGGTAAATCCCCCGCTGAGTACGCTACAGGCTTATACTGTAGATACAATTGCGCTGAACTACTGAGTTCAGCTAAACTAAACTACTTTTATGAAAAGATAAAGGTGAGAGTGTAATAGGAAGTAACAATCTAAATATAAGTATTTTGTCTTTGTCAGTCATTTCCTAGTCTCTTCTCACCACTTTTTTTTTTCACCACATCCTGCTGTCATATATGACACCCACGACGAGTTTTGGTCCTGAGATCACTGGGGGAAAAAGGATGCATAAATAAGGATGCACATAGATATGTTTGGTTCTTTGTTTTTTGTCAGGTTTAAATGGTTCAGATCATTAGACAACTATTAAAATAACCAATTAACCCAATTAGTTAGACAAAGGAGTTTAGTTTCTATGGCTACGTCCAGGCCTATTTGCTGCCAGTAATGTCCAATCAAGAAACCAACAGGACGGTGTATGGCCAAAAAGTGCCTTTTCAATGAGCAGTAGTCATTGACACACTGATAGTGGTCAGGTACAATATAACAACAGCTGCCCTTGAGCTGACTGTTAAAAACATGGCTGTCTGAACACCATTAGTAGACAATGTTGGTGATTTGTTTTGCCCAAGGACACAACGACTGATACAAAGCTGGAGTTCAAACCGGAAATTCTCTGATTGCAAGACGAACTTATACATCCTATGCCGATGTTACCTTGGAAAAAGTAGAGCAAGAAAATCTTAAAAGCTCTATTTCTTTATTTTTTAAAGCATATGAAATATTGTCTTTGGAACAACTATAACACTCATTTGGTAAAGTTGTTGTAGTTGTTTTTTTTTCTAACATAAAATAAACATATTTGCATTCAATGCTCTCATACAAGTATTTTTATTAATTAAAAGCTTTTTACAGATGAAAAAAAAAATAATTTTCTGTACAGGAAGGAGATATATGGGCAGTAAAGTAACATGCAAATTAAATAATAAAATAACAAAGGGGTAAAATACACCAGCCAAAAGCTCTCCTATACAATAAAGTTTTCATTCGTTTTATAAAGATTTCCATGGAACCAGCCACATGGTTGGAGGTCACTCCAAGAGACCAGTCACTTTGGCTACAGGCTAAAGTGTCGGGTCTCCTCAGGTTTTATAATGAGTCTTTGGGACCTTCAGGAGAGAACGATGTGTGC